ATGTGAATCCTAGAAGACTTCCACATTCTCCTTAAAATTCAGAGAAGTTTTTAGTGTTTGATGTCGTATTGTGTTTTAATTTGTTGGAAGCCACCCAGAGTGGCTGGGGTAACCCAGTCAGATTATTAGTAAGGGCTTGAGAAATTTGTGGCACTTCTTGAACAGATATCATACTCATTGATTGTTGAGGGGACTCCTTAGATAGTGAAATGGTTTCTCCTGCTCCACATCTGAGATCACTCATCTCCACACTTCACTCAGAGGTCCTGTTGAAGTATGAAAATGAATGCATTGTGGGGAGGAGCCAGTAGCTCGTCTCACCCTTGGTTGTTTGTGCACAGGCCTGCACCTGAACAATACTGGCAGGGCAAGTTGTGCATAGGGAGCCTACAGGCATTTGGTTTCATCCACATGAGTTGTATGCCAAGGAGTGCTATCGAATCAGAAGTAGCCATAGTTTAATAGTAGAACGCATGCTGTGTGTACAGAATGCCCCTGGTTCAATTCAGGACATATACAGTTTAAAAAGGATGAACTAGCCTTCTTAATGGGAAAAGGCCCTTGAGAGCTGCTGCATCAGATTATATTGGGTTAGATAACTCTGTGTCAGGCAGGTTCATATATACCACGTTCACACACCGTGTTTCCATGTAAACACCTGCACAGGGCTAAAGCATAGGAGCTGTAACGTCAGACCACACTTGAGCCATCATTACATCAATGTAGGTGGTTTTATAGCACCCTCTCTTGCTTGCTGAATGTAGTAATTTCTGTTTTCTATAGATGTTGCAGTGCTTATTCAGTGGGAGCTGTTGGGAGGAAGGGAAAGGAGAATGTTAGCTGCTTTGAGACTCCTTCGGGTACTGATAAAGCAGGATATCAAATCCAAACTCCTCTTCTTCTAGAGAGCCAGTAGTGATACTAATGAAAGGCCTGGATGTAGAACAAAATAAGCTGATAGGTGACAAGAAAAGTTCAGGAAAGGATTAATTATCACACACTCTTAGGGCTTTATTTTTTAAAAAAATTATGTATGTATGTATGTATGTATGTATGTATTGAATTTATATACTGCCCTATACCCACAGGTCTCAGGGTGGATCACAGAATAAATGCACATCCTGAAGCAACCAATAACTAATTGTGTGGTTTACGGTGTGATAGCTCAGTCAATAGAGCATGAGGCTCTTAATCTCAAGGTTGTGAGTTCGAGTCCTCTGGTGGGCAACAGATTCCTGCATTTCACGGGGTTGGACCTTGTGGTCCATTCCAACTCTACAGTTCTATGATTCTATATGGTGATAAATCTGCGGCAATGAAAATTAAATGCTTTACCAGAGCAATAATAACAATGCATAGAATTTACTTTAACCCAAATCTACTTAGAGAAAATAGGAATCATAATTGTCTAAATCAGTGCTGCCAAATGGTACTGAGTCACTGCTTCAAAGCAGGCAAAATGCACAAATATTGGCTTGGATCCTAAAATATATAGACATAATGAAATTAAAGGAAGGAAAGTTTCCAGTTTCTTCTTGCCCCTTTGCAGTGGTTACACCCACAACTCATGTTGGCTGTCTATTCTCCTTTCCTTGATCCATTCAGCTTCTGGGTCTTTCATGTCAGCTGTAAGCTAGGTGAGCTGCATGGTGTTTTATCACTGTTATATGCTCTGCCAATCTGATCCTTCCATTTCTACTATTTTTGCAAATCCCGTAAATTCCAGCCCTGCCACTATTGCCAGCCAAAACCTATGGAGAAACTATTATCACTTATATTAACAACCTGGATTATGAAGGTTATTGTTTACAAAGCCCTCTCACCTTTTAATAAACGTGGTATGACTATTGTGTCTCAGCACAGTCTGGCATCATGCCAGGGTGCTCTGCTCTGGGTCCAATGGCTGGCAGGGATCATCATGGCCGCCTCTGCAAGCCATTGGGTTTTAATTGAGCCTGCCCACGAACTTTTTACATCAGCAGTGGACTTGCTGGTGGGCCTGGTATGCAAGCTTAAATTGCAACCATGTTCCAGTCTTCCTCTTCCTCCTCCTCCTCCTCCTCCTCCTCCTCCTCCTCTTCTTCTTCTTCTTCTTCTTCTTCTTCTTCTTCTATTAAATTTGTATACTGCCCTATACTCGCAGGTCTCAGAGCAGTTCACAGGATAAAATCACAATATAAAAACAAAAAAATACATAATCAAAATAAAAACAGGTTCCTTAAAGGAACCTGAGCCTAGTTTTACAAAAAGCAGATGTGATACAACCCTGCTTCTGGCTTGTACCACTTTAGATACAAGCTATTTTGCTGTTTGTCATTTTTTGTTTTTGTAAAGATGCCTAGAATTGCCTTTAGTGAGAGAATGCATCTAATAAATTTAATTATTATTATTAATAATAATAATAATAGATAGCTAGTGGGTGTGCACATGCCTGAATATTTCATGAATAGAAAAAGATAACACATGAACATGGAAAACTAGTACATCAGAAAAAAGACAATGGTTGTTTTTTCTGTGTGCAGATATTCCTGCCCCCTCCCATGAAATAGTATTCAGGCATGAGAGTTCCCACAGGCAGCCTGAAAGTATGCAACCCAGAAACTGGGTTGCTACTACACATGTTGTGGGAACATAATCTGCAGTTCTCATACTTCCCCAACTCCTCTAATAGCTTCCTATCTTGTACTTCAGAATGCTATGCACAAAGCTAGAATGAATTCCTGACTTCTACGCTTGATTATTTACAAACCATTACACAGAGGGATAAAGCCAAAGAGCTTGGAAAATTTCCAAACAAACAAAACGGAACATTGTGAGCTTAATGAGAGAGAGAGAGAGAGAGAGAGAGAGAGAGAGAGAGAGCGCAACAGACAGACAGACAAACAGACAGACAGACAGACAGACAGACAGACATAGCTACACCCTCTCTTCAAGATATTCAGAACTCTCCTTGTGGCTGGCAATGCCGTTGGATAATTATCTCTGTTCCATCACTGAACATGAAACCAATGGACCCACTGGAGCGATTTGTCATTTCTGAAACTGTCTTTCTGGGAGCTGGCCTTGCCTTCGCTGAAGGGACAAGCGTAGGTGAGCTTGTGGTTGTTGCAGGATGAACTAGTGGGTCTATGTTTGGGGTGCATTTGAATTGGTGTGTCCTCTCAGCTAAAGCTATACTGTGGGCTTCTCTGTGAGAAGTAGATTTGCTGTGGCAGTAGCAAGCCCTTGTCCTAGTAGCACTCTGCGAAAGCTATTGTAGTCTATTGCAGTGTTTCCCCAGACCGGTGTTCCGCGGCACACGAGTGTGCCGTGAGAGCGTTGCCTCGGTGCCGCGAGATCCTGGAGGAGCGGGCGAGTCGGGCGAGCAGGCGGGGCGGCGGCGGCGGGAGGAGGGCCGCGCCTTCCTGCTGCTGCCGCTCCTCCTCGCAGCCGGCAGCGCTGCCTGGGCGCCTCCGCGCGACTCTGCCTCGCTGGGTTTGGTCTCCCAGCAGAGACGGGTCACACGCGCCCCTCCCTCCCTCCCTCAGCCTGCGCGGAGGGAGAGCCAGAGAGAGGCATCGCTCCTGCGCGGCGGGAGAGGGAGCAGCCGGAGCGATGCCCCAAACGAACGCATGGGACCGGAGGGGAAATCCTCTCCGAGGCGGATTGAGCGCAGCTGAGAGAAGCCTTTCGAGGAGCTGCCGTGTCCCTGGAAACCCCCTTCCCAGCTCTGCCTCAGCCGCCGCCGCCTCAGTTGCCGCCGTCCCTCAGTCCCTCGCTCTGCTGCCTCCTCCCACCCCCAAAGCTTGGAGGTTCCCCGGCAAGGGGGAGGGAAAAACTTTCACTTTTGTGCGTCCCTCCCGGCGTGACGCTGCGCGCTGACGTCACGGGGCGGGGCTTTAATGGTGGTGTGCCGCGAGATTTTTTTTCAGTAAACAGGTGTGCCGTTGCCAAAAACGTTTGGGAAACACTGGTCTATTGGACCTGAAGTGATGGCTGTAGCTTGCCTAATGCCACCTGAGTTTTGCTATATACCAGCATATCACTCACTGCACCAAACAAAACAATAAGCACCCTATGTTCTGATGTCTGTTGGCAGGGAATTAAGGCTAAAATGGTTTCTTATAAATTCTTCAAGGGTGCTCAAAGTGGAGGCAAGTAAACAAGCAGGTTTTAAGCATTCTCAAAGATGTACACTGAGAGTGTTATGGCTTTGGTTCTGGTCTAAATTTTCTGTTAAGGGTTTTCATAACTGAGGGATTTGCTGCTTCTCACAGAAGCAACACTTGCTTTTGTTTTCAACATGCTGTGATGTCATGTCATCATGAGGCTGTTATTGAGGCTTAATGATATTTGAAATGAAATCTGTAAGTAAGCATCGAGCCCTTCTCTTGCTGGAAGCAGCTTTTGTGTGAGCATTTTCAGTTGTTGTTTTCTTATTAAGCCTATAGTTATAGGAGAGGTGTGGTAATCATGAGTTGGTTGATATATTACTTGGGTCACAGAAAGTGGCACGCTAGTTGCAAGTGTCCCATTTCATCCCCTGCACCCTGGAAATATTATGAAGCAAGATGCACTATGGGTAGGTGTCAAGGCCCAATCTGAGTCAGTGCTGGCCGGGGCTGGCACAAGACCCTTGGCTGCTGAGGTAAAGGAGAAGATGGTCCTTGAAGGGAAGGTGTTCCACATGGAGGGCATCACTACCGAGAAGGCCTTCTGCCTGGTTCCCTGTAACTTCATTTCTCGCGGTGAGGGAATCAGCAGAAGACCCTTGGAGGAGGACCTCCATGTCTGGGCTGAATGATAGAGGTGGAGATGCTCCTTCAGGTACACTGGCCGAGGCCGTTTAGGGCTTCAAAGGTCAGCACCAACACTTTGAATTGTTCTCGGAAATGTACTGGGAGCCTGTGAAGATCCTTTAAGATCGGTGTTGTATGGTCCTAAAAAATCCCACCTTTGAGGTCCTCTGTCTTTTGACCCTGCTGTGAACTAATTCATTGTTTCTCCATTGGGTTCTGCAGAAGTTGCCATTTCAATCTTTGAAAAGATGCAAGCGCAAGAGATTCTCAGGAACCTGCGGCTTCCAGAGTTTGAAGACTTCAGTCAGTTTTTCCGAAGTTTGCCGGCTGCTACCTTGGTTGGCATTGGTGCCTTTGCAGCTGTTGTTGCTTACTGGTTGGCCAGCCGGCCGAAAGCAGTGAAACCACCATGTGACCTCCTGATGCAATCAGAAGAAGTTGAGGTGAGTCTTTATGCTCTTTACAAAGAACAAGAGTTGGACTTTATGAAAAGTTGTTGCTGTGTTTTTGCTGCGCTTTTTTCATTAGTAGGCAGCATGGCTCTTACATCATTGATTTTTTACAATATTCATAGGCAGCAATCTTAAATGTTGTGACAGTACAATTGATTTTAACAGAATGGCTTGTCCAAAGTTGTTTTTGAGTTTTCCTCTGGATACTAATATATCAGAACAAACTTAGTATGGCCTGCTTGTCTGCAGATTACTGCCACGTGCGCCTCTCAACCACATATTTGTTTTTTGCAGCAAAAATGCCTTAATCCAAATAATTACTGAATATTTCATTAGCTTGGTATTACTTTGATATCTTTTTTTTTTTATTTGTTTGTGATGAACAAGCACTTTCAAGAAAGCACTTGCTGGACTGAATTCCAGTTCTTTGGAGCAAAGTGTTTTTTTGTGCTGACCTTCACCGAAAATGATAAAACATGGGATATCTAGCTGCCTAAATATTAATGAAATATTTACATGTTTGTTTTCTGAAAAATGAATGATGCAATACAGTCCCCTTGCCATTGTTCTTGTTTGTAACATGCTTTTAATCCTTGGAGACATATTTGTAAAAGCCTAGACAAAGCAAGGTAATTATACTATTGAGATTCGTGTTATGGTACTCAAAAACCCCTCATTATTATTTTATTTTTAAAGTCCATACAAAAACTTACCTATAGTAATTGTGCACTCTAATCCTTTATGCTTTTGGGGTTGCTCAGTGTTATCCAAATATATAATTTTGAGACAGCTGGAAACAAACTACTTGGGCACGGTGGATGTTGAAGTGGTTTTATCACATGGGCTTATGAGGGATTGCTGAGGCAAATGGACTGCTCAACCAGTGATACATGAAGCTTTTCCCCCTACTCTGAGAAATCACCAAGCAACCATGCAGTAAGCCTAGAAAGACCAATTGGAGAAAGGAATTCAGAATGAAAATACTGAAGGGGCAGAAGTCAACACAGAGGAATAATTAAGAATACATTGTCTCTGAACTGTAATGATGAGATCTAGTTTTTTTCAAGTCCACTAATCACAAGGATCAGCCATACCTAAACCTGGTATTTTCTTCAACCAATCTGGAGAAGGACGATCATGTAATAATAATAATAATAATAATAATAATAATATCCAGGCTGATCAGTGGATTTATTCATTTTATTTGAAATAGGAAAGTTCAGGAAAATTTTGATTGAAACTTTAGGCTACTCTTTGATGTATAAAATAAGGAGACAATTAAAATGTTCCCACTACATTAGAAATGAGATAGTAGGCCACAAAATTTACATTGTGCCAGTGTTCAACTACATAAAGAGACACTGTCAAAGGTGAGTAGGGGGAAAGCAACTGTTTTGAAGGTTGAGGCACACAGCTGTGTATAGAACAGTATCCCCCCCCCCTCCAACTGACTTCTTTGTGAGTAACATGAATGATGCAGCAAGACTCATGAAATATACATTTAATTCCATGCAAGTGTCCACAGGGAGCATTTCTGCAGCCAGCGGTAAGAGTATTTTGAAAGCACATTGTACAAAACAAGGATTCAGAAAAATCAATACAGCAAAATTGCAGGTTTGGAATGTTCTGTAATGTTATGCATAAACGAAGCATAAATAGAAACTTTTAGCAAGCAATTATGTTTTCACTGCACCATAACATGTGGCTTTGAAGGTAACACAGATTGATATATCCATCCACATGCTCTCCTACAGCTGAGGCTCCTGAAAGCGCATGCTTGTATGCTCTTGGGCCTTTGAGCGATCATGCTGCCACTATTTATTCTGTAGCACAATCCAAGCATCCGCATGTGTAAGCAGTTGCACAATCTGGGTTTTAAATCAAGCAGGCGGCCTACGTGAGAGGAGGAAGCTCCGTGCTACAGACTTTTGCAACTCTTGGAAGAGTTGTTCGTAGAACAGAGATGACATGCTAGAAAGGAGGGGCTTAGCAGTGTCCTCCCCACTCCGCATTGTGTGATTGCTTACACATGAGCACAGCTAGACACCCAAATAGTGCTACTGTAAATTGACATAAGGGACATAGCCAGGCATGTCAACCCTCACATTCTTTAGGATCTTGACAGTCTTGCCGGAAAGACATGAAAAGGGTGGAGAAACCAGGGACAAGAAGGGATCAATGTGAGCTAATGCAGCTATGTGTAGGTATAGGCTGCATGTCTGTTTGCATTGGGGATTAGAATCAGAATCATAGAATCATAGAGTTGGAAGAGACCACAAGGGCCATCGAGTCCAACCCCCTGCCAAGCAGGAAACACCACCAGAGCACTCCTGACACATGGTTGTCAAGCCTCTGCTTAAAGACCTCCAAAGAAGGAGACTCCACCACACTCCTTGGCAGCAAATTCCACTGTCGAACAGCTCTTACTGTCAGGAAGTTCTTCCTAATGTTTAGGTGGAATCTTCTTTCTTGTAGTTTGGATCCATTGCTCCGTGTCCACTTCTCTGGAGCAGCAGAAAACAACCTTTCTCCCTCCTCTATATGACATCCTTTTATATATTTGAACATGGCTATCATATCACCCCTTAACCTCCTCTTCTCCAATTAAGGAGATTAAGGAGTGTTTAGCATAGCTTTCTTTATACTGTCTCAGAGTCTGTACTTCAATGGCTTTAAGAACTTTGTCTGAGTAACTGGAATGTGACTCTAAGGGCCAAACTCCTGATCTCCCATTGTCTGTGTTGTTTCACTGTAGGGCTGGGATGGGGCACGGAGATCTGTAATAGGCGACAGCTCCCAACTGCTAACCCACTACTATGATGATGCAAGGACCATGTATGAGGTTTTTAGAAGGGGTTTTAATATCTCTGGTAAGTGTTAATGCGGACTTGTAGATCATAATGTTCATCTCGCCTAAACTTCCTACTAGACCCACAGGGGGCTGTTGGCTCAGTTTCTGTAAGAGGCCAGTTGTGAACTGAACTTTGATGTTGACCAAGATTGAAAACTGCAATGGGCTGGAAGCAGTTTGGGATCTAGAAAACGAGGTGGTGATCCAAATCGTTCACTGTAATTGATATTGCAACCCTTGTACATTGGTTCAAACAGCTTCAGCATCTAGCAGTATTAACTGTGTGTGCGTGCTTTCTCTTTGGGTGAACAGTAATCAGAGTATAAATTACTCTGTTCTGAAGCAAAAGAGATAATATCGCTAATTCCAGGAGGAGCTAAAATCATGCTATAACAATTCTACCAACCTTTAGGATAAATCTAATGTTATAATCACGCCTCATATAGCCCTCCCTTCCATCCCTCCTGAAAAATATGCAGTATTTTGTTCTTGTTAGATGGAGGTTTTTCTTATTTTCCCTTCTGCTAAAGGAAACTGAACCAATGGGAGGTGACATTTAGAATGGAAGTATCAATCAGATAATGATGATGCAGCCCTCTAGAGTCTAGATATATTAATAAGGCAGTGGAGGTGCTTAATGTCACAGTCACCTTCTCATTTCTAAATGAGAACACTGAATGGTCCTTGAGGGAACTTACAGAATGCAATATTCCATTAGGCAAGATAGCTTCTGTTTGCATTTGATGGTTCTCTGTATGAACTCCTGGATTGCTGACCTTGATAATAGCAATGGTTTATTTTTAGGCCTGCTGTCCTGCTGAGGAGCACTCAGGCTGCCAGGAAGTGCATTATTAACCATCTTTTTGGGAAAGAATTATGGTTCTTATAGCTCATTTCATCTGTTTTTCTTTAGAAAATGGCCCCTGCTTAGGATTCAGGAAACCAAAACAGCCTTACCAGTGGTTGACCTATAAAGAGGTGAGGTTCATGTTATATTTTTCTTAATAGAACAACAACATTAGAAGAGGGTTTTTGAATTATTGCTCTTGTGGAATATGTGTTCCTTCCACACAGCAGTTTGTTGTGAACTTAGTAATGCTCACATATGGAAGGTTTCTGTAGTGTCCATATGATGTTGTCCTCATTAAGATGACATCCCATATCTTCTTTCCAATTTTATCTGGTGTTATGTGTGTCTGCCAGTGTGGTTGCTCGAGAGCGAACAGGCAAGACTCCCACTGGTCTTTTCAAGGCTTTATTATCCGTACAAAACATTTACAGTGCAGAGCGTCTCAAGTCCATGTCTGCTCACTCGCTAGCAGAATCTGGGAGTGGGCAGTCCTTAAACTTTCCCCAGCATAGCAGTCTTTTGTCCCCCATCCTACGCCTCCCCTCTCTGTGCGTAAACCGACTGCGCAGAGAGGGCGTGGGCAAAGGGGGACTTGCCTCCCCCCCGCTTTGGTCAGGCCCAGTGTTGCGGCTCTTTCTAGCATCTTCCGAGCCCTGCATCACTTCCCCACTGGAGGCGGGGCTTCCCTCCTCGCCGGGTAAGAGCTGCTTTGCACGATCTTCGGAGGCTCCCTGTAACCCAACTGCTCTTCCACCTCTTGCCTCTGAGCTGATGGCAGTTCCCTGACATCTAGATTTACTATTTCTGAAGGGAGGGAGGTTAAAATCAAATTATTTAATGGGGAAACAATATGGGACAGCATTTTGATGAATATGATGTTGTGTGGATGCTGCACAAAACTTCCATGCATGAGAACCGCCAAATTCACAGTAAACAACTCTCATATATATATATTCATTTTAATATCATAAATCCCTGAATATTTTACAAAAACTATACCAATCAGTATTCCATTATTGCATCCATCAAAAGTTATTTACACTGTTTAATTTATCTTAATGCTGCCAGTGTTTTCAGCTGTACACAATTATTTCCCATATATTCAATAAATGTTTTCCAATCTTCTTTAAATGGATGTTCTTCTTGTTCTCTTATTCTTATTCTAAGTCTGCAAGTTGTGCATATTCTGTCAACTTAAGTTGCCATTCTTCTTTGGTTCACAGTAAACAACTCTTTATGAGACGCGGGTGGTGCTGTGGGTTAAACCACAGAGCCTAGGGCTTGCTGATCAGAAGGTTGGCGGTTCGAATCCCTGCGACGGGGTGAGCTCCCGTTGTTTGGTCCCTGCTCCTGCCAACCTAGCAGTTCGAAAGCACGAAGTGCAAGTAGATAAATAGGTACCGCTCTGGCGGGAAGGTAAACGGCATTTCCGTGCACTGCTCTGGTTTCACCAGAAGCAGCTTAGTCATGCTGGCCACATGACCTGGAAGCTGTATGCCGGCTCCCTCGGCCAGTAAAGCAAGATGAGTGCCGCAGATCCAGTCTCGTCTGCGACTGGACCTAACAGTCAGGGGTCCCTTTACCTTTACCTAAACAACTCTTTGGAAGTGCCCATATACTATAAGAGCTGTTTGTGAACAGACAAACACAAAATCCCTGTTAAGAATATCATTGGATTTGCCTAATGCAATGTGCAAGATGATCCTCTGTTAAGTCTTCTTAAGTGTTTTCTTTTACTTTCAGGTTGCCGAAAGAGCAGAAGCATTGGGATCAGGTTTACTCCAAAAGGGGTGCAAACCATCAGCAAGTCAGTTTATTGGGGTTTTTGCACAAAACCGGCCAGAGGTGAGCTTCAAGAAAACCAGAGCCTTATCTCCAACTTCACATTTTATTCATATTTATTGCAAACTGTAACTTGTACCTTTCACAATCTCCTTCCAGTGGATCATTTCTGAGCTGGCTTGCTATACCTATTCCATGGTTGTGGTTCCCCTGTATGATACGTTAGGCCCTGGAGCCATTCGTTATATTATCAACACAGGTAAAAAGAAATGTAGATTCATTGTGAGTAAATAGCTTCATAGAAAGCTATTTTTGCTATGTAAAACAGACACAGCTTTGGCTGTTCAAAGGGAGCATTATTTCACCAATATGAATCGCTTCACTTCTGAATCCTCACCTTCTAGTGAAATGTTAGAAGAGGAAAACAGAATGTCTTGCACACACACAAAAGACTGACTGGGTGGTATATAATGGTACTCCTTGGCAGGATGATATAGCCAACCAAGCTACCCTAGGGCAGTTTGGTTGACTGTGTGTTTTATTGTGTAGGTTGTCAAGCCAATATCAACATTGTGATATTTAATAGGTACTTTTAGTGTTAATATTCAAATACTGCATCTTTTTAAGATCCTTTACCAAGTCCTCATTCCCTACAAAAAAAAGCTATTAAAATTTCAGCAGGGCAATCAGACCTAACCTGTCAAATTCATACCTTTGAATGCACTTCAGATGATACCCAAGGTGGAATTTGAACATTAAGCGCTAGTATCAACAGAGTCTAGTTGTGGCTCTGTAATGGTTTCCTTTTTGGAGTTCCAGGGTAACACTAGTTCATTTCAGCAGTCATCCACTGGCAATATAGTACCAGAACACCTGCACTTTCATTTTGCGTTTTGGCTTTTTTTCTGGCAACAATCATTTCCCATCAGAAAAGATCGATCTCTCTGCTCCCTTTCTTTTTAAACACTAAAACAACTGAAGGCGTATACCAGTATTTCCAAAGGAAAACTGTCATAAAATGTGTGTGAGAGTGTGTTATTTTGTATCCTGCTTTTTGCCCAAAGACCCCAAAGTGGCTCATGACATTTATAAAGTAGGGCACGTTCAGCCATGGGGAGAGTCAGGCCAGAAGATGAAGAACAAGTTGAAAACTAGGAGAACAAGTTGGAAACAAAAATTTTAAAATATTGACATCAAGATCCACGGAAGAAAGCAAGGGTGGTTGATGAGCCTGGAAAAGCAAGAGCTGTTAAATTAAGGAATTGGTGTATTTGTTTATTTGAGCTATTCCACTGTATCGACCAGGGTGAAGTACAAAACATAGGCTGATATCTGGTGCTGGTCATACTCCAAAAAAAAATCCATCCACTTAAGACCATTGATTTCAGTGCTCTATTCTGAATATGACTCCGTTGGGCATCACCAATTAAATAAAAGCCAGCCAACCAAATAATAAAATAAGCAACATAGTAAAATGCACCAATGAACAAAAAAGTCAGTTAAACGCCAGAGTAGGTGAATCAACATAAAGCACTTAAAATGCATTGGCAAATGAATAAACCTTAAGCTGTGCATTGATATGATAACAATGTTGGTCCTGCTTCTCTCTGTAAAGGGTGGGATGGGATTTCACAGATGGGAGGCCACCACAGAAAAGGCTCCTCTGCATTCCTATATCTCTTTGTATAGTGGTCAGTGACAAATTTCAATGGAGGGCAGATTATGATTTTTTAAAAAGAGAAATGTGTTGACACTGCACTGCAATGTTTTCAAACTTATTTTCTGTTTCTTTCTTTGTGTGTTTAGCTGATATTTCTATAGTAGTTTGTGATAAGCCAGAAAAAGCCAGAGTCCTCTTAGAAAATGTAGAGAAAAAACAAACTCCGGGCTTGAAATTCATTATTTTGATGGACCCTTTTGAGAAGGATCTTAAAGAAAGAGGGCAAAAGTGTGGAGTTCAAATACAGGCTATGCAGGAAGTAGAGGTAAGGTTCTTATGCACTGTTTAACTGATCTCACGTTACACTGTTTATGCAGTTAAGCAGCAGTTCCACAGAATTATAACAAATTAAAGTTATGTGATATGCCATCATTGTGTGTGTGTGTGTGTGTGTGTGTGTGTGTGTGAAGACTTGTCAAGACTAGCACAAGTATAAAATGCACTGATGGACAATCAAAGATGGTCAAAGTAATAATAATAAGAGGTGATTATTTTTTATGTCTATGCTTTTCATTGTGCAAACAGTTTTCCCTCTTATTTGTCGCCATCTGATATTACAACATGACACAAGCAAATGAGAGGCACACTGCAGAAAGGCATCTGCAGAAAGTGTAGCCCTGGTGACTCAAGAAAGTGGGCCAATCCACAGGCTATAGCATGGGTGGCTGACCTCTGCCCTTCCAGATGTTGTTGGGACCCCCAGCCAGCATGGCCAATGGTCAAGGACGATATTCCAGCAACATCTAAAGGGCACTAGGTTAGCCACCTTCCTGCAGCAGGGCTAAAGGCCTTTGGCCAATCCACATATATTAAATTGTTCTCCTTTTTATTAAATCCTTTCAGGACTGTGGTCGAGAAAGTTGGCGTGCCCCTGTAGTGAGTATAATCCCTTTTATTCCACACTGAACAGTTCCTCATAAACAATGAGCACAATTTACCACAAACGTCCCCGGTGCAAGCATAACTGAAATGAATGAAAGCTGCAGAACAGCCTGTCTCTGTCCTTGTGCATGGCCCATTTGTTTTAATGAAAGCTGGTGCAGGGGTCTTTGTAGATGATTCTCATATTTAAGTACCATGTGGTTTTAAATGGAATCCAAGTTACTTGTGAAAAGCACAAAAATTGGCCACATTTCTTGCTGTGTATTAGAAGTTGTGCCCCTGGGTCCCTTTTTTCTGTTTTTGGGATATTTCAGCTTAATGGACGAGGCATGAGATAAGTAAAATGGCAGTAAGATGGGGGAAGGGAAATTTGCTTTGGAGGAGGAGGTAAGACACTTGGTAAATATAGTCTAGTACAGATAAGTGCCTAGCCGAACTACATACTAGAGGTGGCCACCGAAACAGTTATTACAAAGGCCCCTTCATTACAAAGCACCCTGGGTAAACAAATTGAGTGCTTAAACATTCAATATGATCAGAGACTACAAAGTGATCCACTGTGGGGCAGAAATTAAAAATTCTGAGGTTTTCTCACATGAAGTATCAGCTGAGAAAAAAATAAAGCAGTGAACTCTGAGGAAATGAATGTGCTGGGCACCTACTACTGTGCTGGTCCCGAGGGTTAACCGTGCAGCGAGGTCCGAGTCTAGTCCGAGGTCAAGGGTGTGGTATGGAGGCTGTCTGTCAAAGCTGAAGCGGGGTCCAAGGCAAGGAGTCGGGTGAGGTCAGGAACTCTGGCAGAAGAGCAGGACAGGGTGCAGGCAGGAACAGGCTACCAACAATGTTGCTCCCGCAGCCTGGGACTGGGGCTGGCTGGCTTTTATCTGCCCCAAGGCATAGGGCGGCCCCGGTCCACAGGTGACTCGCCTCTCCTGGCCTGGAGGCGAGCACTCCTCCTGCGGGAACTTAGTTCCCTCCACCTTTCTGCCCTGAGCCTCTGCAGCTCAGGAGAGACTGGAGGGTTACCGGACCCAGAGGCAACCTCAGCTTCCCCTGACGGGGCTGAGAGTGGAGCACCTGCAGGCAATGGGTCCTCCCTCACCTCAGGAGCCAGAGCTGACTCAGCTGGTGCCTGCACCTGAGGATCCAGCACAGGTGAGGACCCTTCAGGCTCAAGCCCCAGCCCCGGCTCAGCTGGTTCTGGAGGCGGGGACTCAGTGCAGGCTGGGATTCCTCAGGTTCAGCCTCCAAGTCCAAATCCCAGGCCATCACAACTACCCAACTACCTAAGTTCAGACAGCAGCCCCAGAGCTGCTAGAAGGCTGGGAATCACTTAAACTAACAGTACAAACAGGATTTTGTACGGGTGCGCAGGACGGGTGCGCTCCCGTCGCTCGGTCCCAGCGCCCGCCAACGTAGCAGTTTGAAAGCACCCCCGGGTGCAAGTAGATAAATAGGAACCGCTTACTAGCGGGAAGGTAAACGGCGATCCGTGTGCTGCGCTGGCTCGCCAGATGCAGCTTGTCACGCTGGCCACGTGACCCGGAAGTGTCTGCGGACAGCGCTGGCTCCCAGCCTATAGAGTGAGATGAGCGCACAACCCTAGAGTCTGGCAAGACTGGCCCGAACGGGCAGGGGTACCTTTACCTTTACAAACAGGATTGGCTTGTTAATTAGCCTCGCTGAGGCCGCAGGCTGGCAGCAGATCCTTCGCATACCTTTGCTGCTCCTCCTCTGGCTGCAGATAGGAGTTACTGCCATCCCAGTTGCCCCTGAGGGCGAAGGTCGCTCTGCCACTGCCTGCTTCTCTCCAGACTCTATTTTTTACTCCCTTGACACCTTCAATGTGCTGGGGCTTCCCTGCACCACTTCCAGTCGCCTCAGGTGACAGAGGAGGAGGGAGCCAAAGGCACCAATTTATGATTTCCCTCAAGTGTCTAAATATCATGGGCCAGCCCTGAGTACAATCTCTTACTCAGAGGTAAGTCCCATTGCATCCAGTGGGACTTAATCCCAGCTAAGTGTGCATATGATTGCAGCCCAGCACTCCTGCATGGCAAGTTATTCAAAGAAAGTACCGTCATCGGCTTTGTATGCTTGGAACAAAATACTTTGGCCGGAGGGACAAAGAATTCACACAGTGGGAAAGCATAATAATTTGTCTCAAACCTGCACTGTAAGGTTAAAAATGGATAAGCAATGTACAAGGAGCTCCCTGCTCCCCTTGGGAAGGAAGGCTGGGGTGTAAATCACATAAATAAGTAAAAATAAATGAACTAAGACATTTCTTTTTCTTCCATGACTTTTCTAGCCTCCTCGACCAGAAGATCTATCAATAGTCTGTTTTACTAGTGGCACTACAGGTAAACTTTACCAGTTTTGCAACAGTTTTCCTTGGGCCTTAATAATGGTGACATTGTACAGAAAAGCATTTTGATTCCATTAAAATAATATGTAAATAGATATCAGGTGTATGTAAATTTAAGTTATGTATATATTTTGAAACGTATTTCATATATACCAGAAAGGATATGAAAATATACTACTATACAAATTGTAGTACACTGGCAGATGAGAAACGGATAGACTGCTGCTTTGTCAGTTATTTAAATTTATGCATTGCATTTTGAAAAATAATAGAAACATGTATGCAGAGGATATCACTAGTGAGGATATCATTAGTTTTAGTTTAACATTGCTTATTAAGTTTACTATTAAAAAAAATAAAAGTCAGCCTAGCTGGACCATTACAGCTAATGAGCCAAAGTCTCTTATCACTTGAAATGTTCACTGATGTAAAAAAAAAAATAACAGCTCCTGTTTTCGGATTCTGATTATTTTAACCATGTAGCCAATCCCTCTTCATTTTCTAGCAGGACATAATCAGAACTACAAACAGATCAGTGCCAATATCCATGGGCTTTATCCTGAGTAACTTAGTCAGGATCCAATGTTACCCAGCAGCAAAGTAAAAAAAAAAAAAGCGCTAGAAAACTAAAGATAACAGAAACAATGAAATGCTGCCGCCCTGAAAAAAATCTCTATTTGTATCTTTCTCCTTAAGCCTCTCCAACCAGAGGAAGCAGGCATATTGTCCACCACCATAACCTTACTAGCCCCTCTTAGGAATTGACTTTGATAGAAAACAAGATGATTGTAAGATGATTGTGACAGTTCTTTCAAAACTGTGCCAAATGTCCCTTCTGAAAACCTGCCATAACCAAATGGTTGCATCCAAGTGATCCAAGAAGCTATCTACTAATTTTTATGACATTAATTCTGACAGGGTCGGAATAACTGATTCCAGTAAGATGACAAATGATAAAGTGATACTGTATTCTATAGTGGCAAGACATACTTACCGTACTTTTCGCACCATAACACTCAGTTTTTTCCCCCCTAAAAGGTAAAGGGAAATGTGTGTGCGTGTTATGGAGTGAATGCAGGCAGGAGGAGCCGCTCTTGCTGGCTGTTCGGCAGCCTCTCTTCCTCCGCTTGGCTCGCTGAGAAGCCGGCAACAGCTGAGCAACAGCTGAGTGTCGGGAGACAGCCTCTCTTCCTCCTGTCTGCCTGCTCTATGGCTTTTTGGGGAGGTGGGAGAAGGGAGGCAGCTTGGAAGCCGGCAAGAGCTGCCTGCAGCGTGTAAAAGCCAAGGTGGGAGAAGGGAGACAGCCTCTCTTCCTCCTGTCTGCCTGCTCTATGGCTTTTTGGCGAGGTGGGAGAAGGGAGACAGCCTCTCTTTCTCAGTGTCTGCCTGCTCTATGGCTCTCCCTTACACACATGTAAGTGGCTCTTACTCTGCTTTCTTTACAATGAGCTGGAAGGAGGGACAAAGAGGGCATCCCCTTCCGTCCCTCCCCCAGCACCTCACCGGTAAATTCAAACAAAGCGGCTTACAAGGCTCGTGTCCCTGCGTCTCCTCCTCTTTTTGCTTCGGTTCGAGGCAAGGCAGCTGCACAAATGTGAGCTCCCCCTCTCTCTTCCTTCCCTCCCTCCCTCCCTCTTCCAACTTCAAAAAATATTGGGGGGACAGCCAGGTAAGCCCCACTCACATACCACAATGGGGGGTGGGGGATGACTCCCTCAAATATTTAATGGGGGGGTGAAGGCACCTAGGCCCATAGGAGTTGGCTGCTTTGCCTAGGACAAATGTGAGCTCTCCATCTCTCTTCCCTCCCTCCCTCTTCCAACTTCAATAAAATATTGGGGGGGGCAGGTACAGGTAAGCCCCATCTGACAGACTGCAATGATCTCAAGACAAAGTGCATGCACACTGGTACCTTATATGAATGGTAATGCCTATCAGCATGGGGGGAGGATGACTCCCTCAAATATTTAATGGGGGGGTGAAGGCACCTAGGCCTATAGGAGTTGGCTGCTTTGCCTAGGACAAGTGTGAGCTCCCCCCCCTCTTCCTTCATCACTGTATTGGAGATACCATACATTACTGACAGTTCCTTCATTCACGTGGTTACAAAGCACGGATCCACATGGATCCTCAGGATTTTTGCACTGGGTCACCCCAAATTCACCATCAGATCACATAGCATGCCCATGGCTACAGCTTGCACCAAAAAAATCACACACCCACTGTTGCCTGGGGCTGCAGTGGTGCAAAAACGTGGTTACAAAGCACAGATCCACGTGGATCCTCAGGATTTTTGCATTGGCCTACCCCAAACTCACCGTCAGATCACATGTCTGTGGCCACAGCATGAACCACAAAAATCATACATCCACTGTTTCGTTTAGAATATTTTTTTTCTTGTTTTCCTCCTCTAAAAACTATGTGCGTGTTATGGTTGGGAGCGTGTTATAGAGCGAAAAATACGGTAAGAGTTGAGGTTGGACACGGCCACCCCCAAAGAAAAAAAGTTATGAATTGCCATGACTGAAGAAGCTGAGTTTTTCTTGTTTGAGGCAAGGCATAAAATATAACACAAATAATCTTTACATTTCTTCTACTTTCTCAGAAATTCACTTTTGTTATTATTATAATAATAATAATAAAATAATTTTATACCCCACCCATCTGGGCGGCTTCCAACAAAACACTAAAATACAATAACCTATTAAACATTAAAAGCTTCCCTAAACAGGGCTGCCTTCAGATGTCTTCTAAAAGTTTGGTAGATATTTTTCTCTTTGACATCTGATGGGAGGGCGTTCCACATGGCGGGTGCCACTACTGTGAAGGCCCTCTGCCTGGTTCCCTGTAGCTTGGCTTCTCGCAGTGAGGGAACCACCAGAAGGCCCTCGGCGCTGGACCTCAGTGTCTGGGTAGAACGATGGAGGTGGAGACACTCCTTCAGGTATACTGGACCGAGGCCGTTTAGGGCTTTAAAGGTCACCACCAACCCTTTGAATTGTGCTCGGAAACGTACTGGGATATTAATCTGTGAGCCTAACATATATTTTAAAAAAAAAAAACCTTCTTGATTGAGTCTTTTTAGCTACTGCCAAAGATGCTGAAACAGTCACTAGTGGCAATGAAGATCAATTATTTTATTAGTTATTAACTGTAGGACAAAATCTCTTTTAACAAGAACTCTGTGTGTTTTGCATATTAAGTTTTTGGAATTTAAAATGCTCCTAGTGTGTGTTAGGCTAAGGGTGTGTAGACTCTGGCGCCATTTCCTGACCCAATTGAATGGCCACTGAGCAATGGAATTTTTCCCTTGGCATTTGGATTGTGTGCTGGTTTTGATCTGGATCTGATGGAAGGGCTCCAGGTGTCTGGGTGCTGCTGTTCGCATCCACATTTACATTTAACAATGTCAGTGTGATGTTTTCCGCAGCATGCTTTTGCTCTTGTATGAGTTGTGCAATACACCGGTCTAGTTCAGACGTAATGCTACACCATAGCAATTAAGCACAGCTTTCCAGATTGTCCAAACACAGACATTCTGTGGTTAATCTTAAATGTAGTTAGCAAAAGTAAGCCAGCTTCAGGGCATAGTTTAGCTTCCTGGTCTGAGGGCAAATCATGCAAACCACCTTGCTGAAGCTAAGCAAGTCCAGCTCTGGCCAGTGCCTGGCTGGGTGAACCACATGTACAGAACCACATGTACACTGGCTTGGATTCCATGATGAAAGAAAGGTAGGCTGTAAATGTAGAAAAATAAACAAACATAATGAATAGTTTATGAAGCTGGTTTGTTTTTACCGGCCATGGTTAAGACAGAGCACAGTTTTAGGGTTCAGTATTAAATGCTAAATAATAATAATAATAATAATAATAATAATAATAATAATAATAATTTATTATTTATACCCCGCTCACCTGGCTGAGTTTCCCCAGCCACTCTGGGCGGCTTCCAATCAAGTGTTAAAAACAATACAGTATTAAATATTAAAAACTTCCCTAAACAGGGCTGCCTTCAGATGTCTTTTAAAAAGAAGATAGCTGCTTATTTCCTTCACATTTGAAGGGAGGGCGTTCCACAGGGTGGGCGCCACTACCGAGAAGGCCCTCTGTCTGCTTCCCTATAACCTCACTTCTCGCAATGAGGGAACCGCCAGAAGGCCCTCGGCGCTGGATCTCAGTGTCCAGGCTGAAAGATGGGGGTGGAGGCGCTCCTTCAGGTATACAGGACCAAGGCCGTTTAGGGCTTTAAAGGTCAGCACCAACACTTTGAATTGTGCTCGGAAACGTACTGGGAGCCAATGCAGATCTCTCAGGACTGGTGTTATGTGGTCCCGGCGGCCACTCCCAGTCACCAGTCTAGCTGCCGCATTCTGGATTAATTGCTGTTTCCGGGTCAATCTAAAGTGGAAGTGGAATCTGCTGATCTAGTTGTGGCTGTGTGAGAGGAGAGAGAATGAATGAGTGAACAAGCCTGGGGCAGAGGGAGGGCTAGGTTCCTTCTCCTAACAGGAAACCATTTTTGCCTTCAACATGACTTATTTTCCTGCTTCCTGCCATGTTGAGGTGGCAGCACTAGAAATTGCAGCCTAAATATGCTTGGGACCCTCCAGGACAGCAGGAGGGAGGGTGCAATGGCTGCAGGAGAAAAGGGAAATTTGTGAACATAGCTCCTGTTCATTGAAGCCTTCAATGGATCAAAGAGCCTTCTGTGAATGGAAGTACGCCATACAAAATAGCCCTAAGTGTTTTAAATAAAAATAATTAACACAATTAATGATAGATCCATTGCTGCTAATTTAGATGTCACTTATGGACAAAATTCTGGCCAAAAACATGTTGCTGTCTGAGTCAAGGGGCAAGATGGTGCTGCCTCCCATATTCCTCACACAAAAACCAAATGGATTGCTTTAGAAAAATCCCAGTGAGTGTCTTAAGCAATACTGAAGTAATGGTTTGACATATATAAAGCTATAACACACAAACCTTTGAAAACATTTGAAAGCTGCTTGCTTTTCAAGGTAGTCCAGGAGCAAGCATGTTCATTTTAATGATACTTCAAAATGAGGTCACTTGGAGGAAAAGCTTATTGTGCCCTCTTTCAACACCAGACAGAAAAGTATTCCTCAGGGAATGGAAAAGGTCCATTGCTAGTGGTCCCTGGAGGTTCGTTTTGTGGTTACATGGGGGGCTTTTTACACCTCCCTTCCATGAGTATGCTTTCTTTAAAACTAGGGCAATTAAAGCATTATAAATTGTTAAAGTGCTCAACAAATCAGCTGAGAATGTGCATCCTTTTATGGCTCACTGTATACTAGATAATCCAGAGGCAGTTTCCTGAGAGAGTCCAGTGGTGCTGGACTCCTCCCATCATCCCTGACTATAATCTTCCCCATCTGCATGACAGGCATGACGGAAGGGAATCCTGATTTAACTACAGCTGTGCTGGGATTTCAAATGTACGCACAGAGCTCAGTTTGGGTCACTGAGGTGGTTCTGCTTTATCAGTGGTGGAGAACCTGTGGTGCTTCAGGTTTTGCTGGACTCCTCCCATCATCCCTGACCATCGGTCCTGCTGGCTGGGGCTGATGTAAGGCGAGAGTCCAGAAACATCTGGCATGCTGCAGGTTCCTCATCTCCGTATTATGCTTTGGTCCAGAAAAAGAAACGGGATTTCCCTTTAATTCAACTTTGGAAACTCTTAAGTGTTCCTTTGATGTATTTTTCTTCTTCCATTCTCCAGGTAACCCTAAAGGTGCTATGCTGACTCATGGGAATGTGGTTGCTGATTTTTCAGGTTTTTTGAAAGTGACAGAGGTGAATATTCTATCGGATTTATTTGTGTTGCAAAAAAAATTCAGCAGAATGTATAACATGCGGTGAATCGGTTACTTTGATGTGGAAACAGCTACCGGATGTGAAACTGCCTTTTTGAGAGGTCCTCCTTGCCTTGGTGCATCTGGTGATACTCTTTCAAACAGAGCTGGGTTGAGTGTCTTTTTTTGCAGGCTGCTGAAATCTCCAGATCCATCAAAATAATTCAGGTATCAGTTAAGATACTAGCCTACAATGGTCAGTGAGTCTCTTTCTACATAGAAAAGGTTTCAGAATTTTGTTTAAGTCTTTATCCTCTTTTGTATGAAGATAACATCCCAACTTGAGGATAAAGTTAGAAATATTTTGGAAAGAGGGAAGCAAATCAGGGCTGGAGCAGTGTGTCCTCAGCTTCAAAATGAGATAGCAGTCCGTGTTACCTAAAATGGGTCACAGAACTCTGAACGCTTCTTCTCTTTGTGCTCTGGAATAATTGCCAATAGGAATGTCATTTTCCATCATTCTCTGTCTGTCTCTCTGTACTCCAGATTGGAGTATATACCATAAATGTATTTCCTACAGTAAAGCTTCATCTGCATTGCTGAAAAACCTCAGTCTCGTGCAGTGCCTTGTTAGGTGCACTGATAGTCCTTCCCATTGTGTTTACCAACTCTTCTAACTGGTTGACTTTTGCTTTCTTAAAGCATGGGTCCTACAATTAATGCAGTAGCAGGAAGTATGGTAGGGCAGTGCCACTCATCTGACCTCCCTCCAACTGAATCACTACTGCATGCCATGATGTTGCGGGACAGTGGCAAGGCAGTACAGTGCAAATGCACCAGCAGGAGCACTGTATTAGTTCTGCAGGCACATTGGCACTGTGCTGACCTTAGTGGCATCTTGCTCCTTCCCCTCTCCATCCTGGTATGCAGCAGCGACTCAGTCAGAGGAACTTCAGCTGAGTGGCAGAGGCCTACCACGCTGTCAGCTTCTGTATTTATGTAAATCATAATTCATAGGGGCTTACATGGATATAATCCCCTGTAAGACTGTGAGGAGTTATCACCGTAATATGAGAAGGAAAAGTAATTGTAAAATGTAACCACAGGCGATTCCTTCTGTGCATTGCTCTTCTTAGTTTGAATCTGAAATAATGTCATGTCTTTGGAGGTTAAATGAGAACCTAGAATCAATGATGGGTTGTAAAAATAGGATCAAATTATCCAACATCAAAGCATTGTTAAATCAAAGGATTTGTCCAGCCTTAGCAAGAATGTGTTGGACTGTTCATGAAAGTTTAGTACAATTGAAGAACATGTGCCATCAGTCTCTCTGTTCCTGGATGAATGCATCCAGAAGAAAGTTGCTTTATATAGTCCTGTTCGTAGAATCACTAAACAGGATTAAAAAAACCACTCCACATTTTAGATGTGTGATTTATGATCACTGTCGTTTCAGTTAGTTTGCCATGATTTCCATAGCCAAAATAAATAAATAAATAGTAGCTTAAAGGTTGGTAGCTTAATTCTTTTTGCCATTCGTGAGCATGTTTAGTGTTATGGGCTGGGCTTACAATTCCGTAGCAGTTTAATTCCACGTTAATTACCCTTCAAGTGCCCTTATGGATAATGTGGATCAAACTCACTTTCCTTAAAAAAAAAAATGAACAAAAGAGAGGAAGATAAAAAGATGGCCTCTTCCAGTGAGAAAACTTTGTGATCATGGTAGCAAAAATCTGCTGAGTATTAACTAATGTTACATTATCATTTAAAGTTGATATCCAAGTGCCGATTTAAACCATAGCAGGAGTCTAATACTTTAAGTCTGCAAGATTAGCTCATAAGGTTGCCTTCTTTTTCTCTCCCTAGTAGGATTTCTATGCCAAGCTGCCTGGTAGGAAAAATCTAATCTATTAAATTTTGGTTATCAAATTGCCTTTGTATCCCCGCAAAGTGTCACCTGCTACATTTCTATTGAAGAACATAGGAAGCTGTCTTATAAACTGAGTCCGACCATTGGTCTATCTGGCTCAGTAGCTAACACTGACTGGCAGCAGCTCTCCAGAATTTCAAACAGGAACCTTTTCCAGCCCTACCTGGAAATACCAGGGATTGGACCTGGAACTTTTTGCAAGCAAAGCACATAGGTTCCAGCACTGAGCCACAGTCCTGCTTATCGGGTAGCTTATTAGTGGCAAAAGAATCCTGCCAGGGAGGGGTGAGGATCCTGTCAACCTTATGATCCAATCTTCTGGTTTTGAGCTGTACTCAAATGGGCATTTGGAAATAAAGTTTAAATCATTTGGCATACAAGGTGTACAAAAAAGATCTGCTGTAGCCGAGTGGTGCAGGACACACTTTGCACGCAAAAGATCTTCGGTTCAATTCACAGCATCTGCCCGCAGGGCTGTGGAGGACTCCTGCCTGACAGTCTGGAAATCTGCATCCAGTCAGTGCAGAGCGATAGACTGTGGCTTCCCATGCTCCCAAGTCAGGTGAATGTTGGCACTCAGCTTTGTTGTTTAGCAACCGGACACCTTTGCAGGAAACCTCTTAGGAGAAAAGAGCTATGCCTTACCTTGGAATATCACAGGGCAACAGAAGTGTCAAGGACAGAGGACAAGAAGCCCAAGCGCATTGGTCGAAGGGCATGCTCACCACCCAGCTCTCCACACATGCTCTGCGCAGTGGAGAGCGCTCTCTGCATACGTCCCTGTGTTCTTCACCACTCCTGCTAACATAGTTCCATTGGTGTTGTGGCCTAACGCATTACTTCAAACACTGTTCTCTTTTTTCTCGCTTAATAATCTTTACCCCTTTTGCTCCTCTTGGTGCCATTTTTCTTTTTTATTGTTTTATGACTTTCTTGTTGTGTCTTCCTGTCAGTGTTTCTTTCCTTTCTGTCTCCCATGCCCTTCATCTGCAGAAAGTGATCTTTCCGAGACAGGACGATGTGCTCATCTCCTTCCTGCCTTTGGCTCACATGTTTGAAAGAGTGATACAGGTAAGAAACCTGTCTAGACTGACCCGGGCCTTGCGGGGCTCCTTGTTTTTGTTTTTTTTCCAGAGTCAGTGGTCTCCTACATTTGAGGATGCACACATTTCCTATTTGCCTTTAGCACACATGTTTGAGAGAATGGTACAGGTAAGGTCTTAGTGTCAGTGGAAGTCCACTAATTCCCCTTGATCAATGAGTCTGCTAATGGTCACATTTGTATGCCACACTAAACTGTAGTTTAGCATGATGCGCATAAGCTGCACACAGCTGCAGTGTCAGGCTTACACACTCCTCCTCCTCTGCATGTCTGAGAAAAGGAGTGATTTCAACATGGTCCATTTCCACAAGCCCAGTTCAAAGCATAGTTTCTGAAGCTGTATTGTTTAAACTAACCATAGTTAACATTAAGAACAGCTCTAGGCTTAGGCAACATGGGAAACAGCACTTAACCAAAAGTGAAGGCTTTTGAACTCCTCCTCATGGCTGCATGGAAGTAAGAGAGGGGAGGAGAGGGAAGAGCCTGAAGCAGGCATAGGCAAACTCGGCCCTCCAGATGTTTTGGGACTACAACTCCCATCATCCCTAGCTAAAAGGACCAATGGTCAGGGATGATGGGAGTTGTAGTCCCAAAACATCTGGAGGGCTGAGTTTGCCTATGCCTGGCCTGAGGCTTAATGCTGCCTGTGCACATCCATGGTTTAGCCATGGTTTGGGTTTTACCGTGGATTCAGTGGCTGCAATGTGGTTTGCAACTACAGCCTGTCTACTGTAAAAGTAAAAACACTTACACTCCAGAAATGCCATGGGCTATTTGACAGGGGGAATTTTCAAGCCCCAGTTCTTTGGCACCACCCCAGACAATATCTCCCAACTTCCAGCTTCTGCAGAACCTGTCTGCTGCAGCATAACGGGATACTGACTGCTCCGAAACTAGTGTTGAAATTTCTAGTGGACTTAAACACGACTGAATAAGCATTCTTTTATTCCACTGACTTAAAGCTGGGTCTGAAGAAAACTGTCCCCAACAGAGCCTGAATCACAGCACCAAGTGTAGTTTTCCTTTAGCAAGGAAACAAATATCAACAAATAAAGGTCTCTTTTGAAGAAACTTTTATATGAATTTGAGATTAATCCAGCTACCATGCAAAAGAACGGAAAGGCCCAAAGGTTAAATAATAACAACATATTATTTTCTGAGAGAGGCTAGAAATTGGACAGCTCTTGATAACAGATTTGGGGGTGGGGAGGAGAAAAATGCCTCCCTATCCCGTTCTGCTGAGATATTCCTTCTGTCAATGGACAGGCAGCATTGAGTACTCCCTTACAGAAATCAACAACCGGAGAGGCAGTTTTCACAAGCACCATAATGACAGTAGCTGCTGCCAGTTCATAAATCATCTGGTTCACATATTACATTGTCTATGCTAACATATACTGGGAAAAGTACAAGACCCTTTGCATGTAGGTGTCCTGGCCCCCACCCAACACACAGAAACCCTAACGTGTTGGTAAGAAGAGATGTTTATTCAGGCACGTAATGGTACAAGGTCAGCAGAAGACAAAGAGTTCAGGGGTTCAGGAATCAGGGAATACTTTCAGAACTGGATGGAAGCAACAAAGATGTCCCGACAGGTTTCATGCCCCACCCACTAACCTTTTAAAGGCATGGCATGCTCACTCACAAGATTCACTCACTTTGTAGGAATGTCAGAATTGCAACCATGTGCTCCTTCAGGGTGGGTGGGTCTGCTCCCTTCTGCGAAGGTGGCAGCTGCTTCTAGGCAACAATACTGCACCCTAGGCTCCAGATTCCCTGTCTAGCAATGCCTGATCTCACCATTCAGGTCTCCTTTCAGTTTCCTCCTCCGATGTTGGGGCTTGCCAATCCAAACCTGATCCCAATCACACAGCTGAAATCTTAACATTATGACCAAATGACCCATACTAAATGACCCAGATCAAGGAGAGCTATTCATAAACACCCAAATAATGCTTAAGAAAGCATTGTTTAAATGAGCAGGAAGAATAGTCACTATGCATGTGATTAAACTAAAATTTATTTTTTTCTGCCTTTCCCATCACAGTCTGTAGTGTATTGCCATGGCGGGCGAATTGGGTTCTTCCAAGGGGACATTCGCCTACTGTCTGATGATATGAAAGCACTGCGTCCCACCATATTTCCTGTTGTGCCAAGACTGCTGAACAGGATGTATGACAAGGTAAGCCTAACATATGTTTTGGGGATTAAAACAATCAGTGATGGTCTACAGTCTTGTTACCCAATGAAGTTAAGTGGACCTACTGAATACTACTTTTTTGCATCTTGAATTCTTTGGCTGCTTTGCTTTCCACTTTGCCATAAACCAGCAGAAACAAACTTACTCAGAGTTATCACATTTGAAAAGTGAAATGAACTCCCAAGTTATACCTAGTTCTGTGCATTACTGTTTATTACATGTAGGCAGTATAACTTGCACATCCTCAGTATGAGTCTCCCTTATGTCTGATGTTGTAGCTTAGCAGATAGGATACTGAACAGAAGAAACTTGTGCCTCTAGTTCCACCACCTATGCTTTTCTATGCTAGCAGGATGCCCAGAAGGTGAGCTTTGACTTGTGAGGCATGGTCTGTTAATCAAAGCTGTTTTGCTTACTAAATTAATGTATTGGTTCACACAGTGGAAAGGAGTCTTAAAGTGATTTCAAGAAAAGAAAAGCACAAAATTACATTATAAAAATATTCATACAAACGATGCAGCACCCACTCTGCTTTATCAGAGAAGCACCCTTTCCACCGACTTGCAAAAAGCAAGTGTTAAGGTGTCATGTGCAATGTTATTAGGGCTGTTTGTGAGCAGGGAATTAGCATCCCTGTCATACTTAAAAACCTTTCTCCTGAGCAGCCTCAAGTTTCTAAATGCAAGCCTCCTCACTACTGGGCCATGGGAAGTTTCTGACAGGGAGCCACTGTAGACTCTTTCCAGCACTCTGTGCCTTGTTTGTAGGCAGGGAATGTGTACTAGGGCAAGGTGATGTCATCAATACGTTCCCAGCTGTCACCATGGACTGATTGGTGCTTTACATGCATGGGGTGCTGCTAAGCTGTGAAAGGTACACAACAGGAATTTTTCCAGAGATGCTTCAGGAGTGTCTGTTAAGAGTTGACCTACTTTCTATTTTCTAATAATGTTATGACTGCACTATGCTTGATTTACCCGTCATATCCGGAAACTATGAATGTGATACACATTTATTATTGGTACCTAGTTCTCATCTAGGTTTTCTGTATCCACCCCCCTAGATACAAAACAGACTTCTAGATACAATTTATATATTTTTTGTTTGGAAATTGATTCAACGTTCTTTCTTTTTCTTTAATGAAATCTGATGTGGAAGGCAAGCATGTGTACATCATATTGCAACATTTGCCAGTAAAATACTTCGGGGTGGTGGTGGGGCTGACTTCTGGTGAAATCTCGTCTATCTGGATAGTCAGTAGAGAAGGGTGTGTGTGTGTGTGTGTGTGTGTGTGTGTGTGTGTGTAGAAACCAGCCAATGATAACATTTATATTTATTGCTCTGCCCACTTCCACCTGTGGCCCCACCCAATCCTGGAATGTGGCCCTCAGCAAGGACTGTGTCCCGTGGGCTGCCAAAGTCTGTACATTTCTTTGCTTTTTCACATCTTTGCTGTGTACCAGCATTGTATACCCAGGGACGCGGACTTATAAAAAATATTGGGGGGGCCCGGGAAAGCTCATGAATAATAAATAAGCTCATGAATATGCAAATAAAGTGGCGCCGCCTCCTCGTGAGCGAATAGGGGAGAGCGGGCTGCGCCTATTAATCAGCTCCAAAGGAAATTGGGTGGAGCTTTTGCTCGGGAGGGAGGGCAGGAGGCATGCAGCCCGCCCCTCCCTGTGCATTTTGGGCTGGGGGAGGGGCGGCGATGGCGCTCTGCTGGAGGGGCGCCGGAGATTATTGGGGGGGCGGAGCCCCCCCAAACGAATTTTTGAGGGGGCTCGGGCCCCCTCAAGCCCCATGGAGTCGGCGCCTATGTGTATACCTGAGAATGGATTTGCAAGCAGGAAAAGGAGATTGTGAATCAACACACCTGAAGTTGTAACAGCAACGTGAAAGAAGTCTGACTTCCACTCCCTAACATTTTTGCATGTGGGGCTGTTTATAAAATGATTTCTGATGAATCTTAGGTTGGTTTGACATGGAGATTTGCCATAATTGCCACTTCATAAAACATTAATAAAAATAACAGCCAGCCACAATTAGCTCATTAACAGACTGGGAACTGCTCTGCAGCAGCCAGATGTTTCTATTCTGTTGTTACAATATCCCCAATAATTCTATATAGCTGTGCCAAGCTAATTACACAATGGAAGCCCTTGGGATACCTTAATCTCTATACATACTTTTCAGTGATTTTGTTTTCCCTTAGAAGAGAACAGAAAGCATAATTCAAAGTGAATTGCAGCAGAAGAGCTTTGTTGTTAACTTTTAGCAATGGTATAGTTATGATTAATTCAAACAATTAATTATACTGCTGGCATCTGTGGAGCCCTGTCTGCTTATGCCAGTGATAAATTTGGTCCCGCTTCCCTTTTAAGCTGTGCAATCTTTTCTCTCTCCCCACGCCCTGCCATTCTGCATTCTCTTAGATCTTCAGTCAAGCAGACACCCCACTGAAACGCTGGCTTCTGGAATTTGCTGCAGAGCGTAAAAAGGCAGAAGTTCAAAGTGGAATAATCAGAAATGACAGCCTGTGGGATAGACTATTCTTTAATAAAATACAGGTAAGGATCTGGAAAAAAAATGGGCACTTGTGCAAGGAACCCTTTACGAAAATGAAATTGTACATGAAACTAGAAAAATTACTAAAGGGGGGGAGGGAGGCAACCTTTCCCAGGGAGCCTTCTTGCCCTGTAAAGGACTGGGTTTTGGCCCCAGCAGCAATTTTTATGGGTGAGGCCTTTGAATGGCATTGTTATTCAAATGAATGGAGACAAACCTTGGGCTGAGTGGGTCCCAGTCACTGAATGGGTGTTTGCCCCCTAGCAACAGTTTTACTGTCCTTCAAAGGAGCAGTAAACCAGGAAGTCTCTTTCAGTCTGGATTTTAATCTAAACTGGAGAATCTGGATGCTCCCTGACTTAATTTTCAGGCATGAGCCACGGCACTGCCCTGTCTTTGCAGCAGACAGAAGCAACTTTTTAAAGAGTCAACTAATATTTCACTCTCTATCGGCTGTTTAGTTTTATGCAAGTTCACAAGTACCTAAACTGTGAAAATCACAGGAAACGTTGCTATCAAAGTGACTAATTCAGGATTGCTGGAGTAAACAAAGAGACCCCAAATAGGCGCCATTCTTCTTATAGAATCCCGATCCTCTTACTGTGAAAATTCGCAGACCAAAAGTGAAATTTATTGTAGCTTTAAGGAGATTGTTCATCAGTGCAAATATTTCTGCTTACCTGATAGAACAATCTCATTCCTGCTCCCCTGTGTGCTGTTCTGGGGTTACTTTCAAGCACATTTGGGATCAGGGCATGAGGCAAGAAATGAAGCCATTACTAGAAACACAAAAGGAAAGCTTTGACCAGTAAGAAGCAAGATCATACAGTGGTGCCTCGCAAGACGAAATTAATTCGTTCCGCGAGTTTTGTCGCCTTGCGATTTTTTTCGTCTTGTGAAGCACGGTGTCGGGAAAGTTTTGGAAAAGCTTCAAAAATCACCAAAGTCTTAAAAAACCTCAAAAAAGGCTACCACACCGCGTTCTATGAGTTGCTCCTCGAAGTCAAGTCGCAACTGTATTAACGGTGTTAAGAAAAAGGAAACAAACTTGCAAGACGTTTCCGTCTTGCGAAGCAAGCCCATAGGGGAAATCGTCTTGCAAAGCAGCTCAAAAAACAAAAAACCCTTTCGTCTAGCAAGTTTTTTGTCTTGCGAGGCATTCGTCTTGCGAGGTACCACTGTATTCAGAGTCTATCGGAAGGTCTCAAATACATTAGTTAGAGTTTTACTCAACAGTACATGCTTCAACCAATTGTGTGCTCCTCCAAAAAAATGGTAATGATAAAAAATTAAAAGCGAAACACTAAAATACAAGGTTGTAGCCAGCTGTGGCTTTGCAGTAGTACAAAAATGCTTATGATTGTGTATGGCGGGGCATCCAATTTTCACCCATTGTTCCTACCTGCTGCTCCTCTGTACCTTATCCCATGCTATTTGGAACAGCTTTGTAGGGACTGCAGTGGGCAGAGAAGGAATCCATGAAAATTGGATGTCATGGTTTGCATGAGGGTACACTTTCTGCTAGTGCAAAACCATCACCAGATACAGACAATCCAGTTTTATTTGACATGAAAACAGAATACTGTACAGCCCATATTATGCATTTAGAACTACGCTCCCTCCCCACCCCATTTCTCCCAGAACATCATTCACCTAGGCTGAGGTGTGTGTGTGTGTGTTATGTGTGGCAAGGTCAGGAATGTAGCTGTTTGCGTGGCGAGGCCCTGGGCCCCGCAGTTCCATTAGATAATAAACACACAGACACAAATGTTTAGGTTAATGGGATAAAACAGGCCACAACTTTATTGGTTACAGATGTGAGCAGCTTGGCTTAGGCATTGGGTGAAACCAGACTATATCCTGACTCCTGCACATCTGCAGGGAGTCTCATAAGAGTAAACCACTGGTAGGGGGAGCCCTATGATATACATTGATTAAGAGCACCCCCAGGGTCCCCGATGGGGTTGTGGCATGGCTTTGGACAGGATCCACACGCCCGGGTCCCTTTAACAGGATACCCTTAATGTGGAGGGGCAGGCGGAGGCAGCAACCTCCCCTCCCATAAACAAGGCTTACCCAATGCCTAACGGCCACTCAAGCCCTAAAGGCTCCCCGCCAACTTAAATGGCTAGTGGCCATGCCCCCGGCCAACCTGATTGGCCAGCCGGGGGGCATGATGCGACTGGGAGTCCCTATGACTTGGGCGGCATCCCTCCACCCACAGCTGGGTTACTGGGAGGTCCTAGATGCACTCCCACAACACCGCCCCCCCCCCCCCGGAAGGGGAGCTGACTTCCAGCATACAGTGTGATCTTCATAAATGTGGGAGAGGAAAGAGGTTTGGAAATATAGGCATAAACTATTCGGCTAGATCTAACAGGTAGGCTGATCTTTGTTGTCCCTGGAAGCCCAAAGTATACTGTGCAAATATGTACAATAACTTCTTTATGCTACATGCTGTTTTTTCAAAGTTCTCTTTGCCCAACAGGCAAGCCTGGGTGGCTGTGTTAGGATGATTGTAACAGGAGCCGCTCCTGCTTCTCCCACTGTTCTGGGCTTCCTTCGAGCAGCCCTGGGATGTCAGGTATGTTGCACCTATACATTTATCCAGTTGCACTTTTTATTTCCTAGCTAGAAGTTCTGCTACCATTAGGGAAAAGCTAGATTGTTAAAAATGAGCTGTGGTATTAACTAATAACACTGTGGGAACTAAACACATCCATAATGGAAATAGGGAGAGTTAAGTATTAGGACCATATAAAGAGCCATGTTTATGTACAGCAAGTCCCTTGCAAAAGTAATAAGCTAATGGTAAAGATCTGATCAGAACTTGTGTCTAGATTTTAATTTAGATCAGGTGGGGGAGGTACTATAGACGGATTGGGGCCAGATTTGTCTGCCTTCTAGTTCTGTCTAAGGGGAATCCCCCTCCTTGGATGCCCCTGTGTTTCCTAGATACCATTGAAGATCTCCCGTTTTAAGAAACAAGTTGGATGCACCCACCCTTCTTAAATGGGTGTTCAAGGTGGCAGGGATGCTGAGTAAGACAAACCCAGCTTGCAGTGTCTTTTTCTTTAGCAGCAACCACCGACAGGCCTTTTCAGGTGTGGGCAGAGGCCTGTAGCACTAAACTTGACCAATAATTGGCTCATGCCATTCTCAGCCAGGTACTAGTGGCTTTCCTAGCTTGCAGTACAAGTTCCAAAGTGCATCCTCTTCAGCTGCTCCCAGAGTTCCTACAAAGGAGAGATTTCTCCTCCATCTTTACTGACTTTCTCCATCTCTAAATTCAGCAATCAGAAGCTATTATTGTACACAATTGTAATTTAGATTGTGTTCTTCCTGAGTCCCAACACTGGAGAGAAAAGTATTTATTGCTCATTTATTTATTTTTGGCCTTCAAATAAAATGGTGAAATTAGCATCATCTTGTTTAAATGATGCAGGCCTCTGAATACCTGTTCTGCCTCAGAATACCAGTCGCTGAGGATCGCAAGTGGGAGAATTTGACTGTCCACTTGTTCTGCTTGAAGGCTTCCAATAGGCATCTGATTTATCTAGATGGACCTTTGGTCTGACCCAGTAAAGTTGTTCTTATTTTCTTACATACTTTTGACAGGTCTATGAAGGCTATGGTCAGACAGAATGCACAGCTGGCTGTACCTTCACTACTCCAGGGGACTGGACATCAGGTAATAAACCAAGCAGAGTACTGAATCATCAATTAATCAATTGCTTTTTTATGCATATGATATTTCAGAGATTTTAAGGATAAACTCCTGTAGAATGCAGTGACCTACTAGGTTTATGAGGAATAAGGCAGTCCCTCAAGAAATTCTGTTTTAGAATGCAAGTTTAATTAGCTTATTTAAGCTTCAAAACAATTAGGTCAGAATCCTAAGATGCCATGTATGTGCGTGCAGGAGAATGACGTGTAATCGTGATATTCTTTGCAGCTTTGGGCTCAGCATTTTTCACTGCCAAAAAGGCAAGCAGCTTTAAAAACCAATCAGTGGTTTGTCCCTTTTCTCACTGAAACAACAGCTGTGCTCAGCCTAAACAAATGCTACTTACCAGTATGATATATCATTTCTTTAGATCCCAGCTTCTGTGACTTACGATAATCTGTGGCCCTGTTTGGATTTTGTTTCCTCCTTTAGATTGTCCTTAGAAAGAGATGAGCTCTGGGTTATATGTGCTCTTTCCCCTCACTCCTAATTACAATTATTATTTTTCACTAGACTAGCAATAAAACTGCATCTTCAGCAATGTTCAGATACTTTTATGATAATAATCTGCTGTAGTCGTTTTACTTTTGTTTTTCTTTAATTTTTTTTAAAAGACACATGTCTCCTTGGCAAGAAGCCAGTGACTCGATTGTAGAGCAGTCTCCTTCGCCAGGGAGCACTGTGAACTGCACTGTCACTTTCATAAATCTGTGTCGAGGGATTAGATCCTGCACTGGGCAGGTTGTTGGCCTAGATGACCTTTATGGTACCTTGCAACTTAAAAACTATCATCTCTCTGTGTTTTGCAGGTCATGTTGGAGCACCTTTGCCCTGTAATTTAATCAAGCTGGTGGATGTTGAAGAACTAAATTACTTTTCTTCTAAAGGAGAAGGAGAGGTAACATTCACTCTTCCTGAACTCTTTGCTGTCTCACTTGTAGTTTAAAAAAGCCAACGAACCATTTTCCAGAGGCAAGATCTGTCACTCCTTTACAGGAGATAGGAGGGTGCAGAGATACATATATTCCTCAAGAACATGACCAACATGCTCAGGTGCAGGAGGAGTTTGCTCTGGTGCTCAGGAAGGCAAGCGAGCAAGTCGGGCATTGGCTCTCATTCTTTCATTTCAGTACTGATGATCCAAACTTCATGCAGGGTAATGGCAAGAATTCCTGGAACTGACAGGAACTGGGAAGGGAGAAGGTTCATGCCATAACTCCTTAGAAGCCTAGTTTAGGATGAACAGCTAAAGGAAAACAGGCACAATGAAACATACACAGCATCCTTGGAGTAAGAAGGTGGCAGTGGAGTTAGACATTCATCTTGCCCTGCTGGCCAGGATTAGTATTGTGGTGAGGCTGCTTTCTGATTACTGTGAATAGGACTATTAGTGTGGATTTGCCTTGAAGGAATGCAGGAGCACAGTTTGGTTTCGAACAAAAAATGGTTCATCATTAAAAGATGGTTTCTTGGTTCTCTCTGGAATAATTTGAATGGGGGGGGGGGACAAAGAAGAGTGGCACCTGAAAGTCCAACAAATAAGTTATAGCATAAACTTTCATAGTCTTAGGGCATAAGTTATTGTGGACTATGAAAGCTTATGCCACGAGGCGTTTCTTAAGTCTTCTACAAGACTCTTTCTGCTGCAACAGTCTGACATGGCAACACACATTTCACACCCAGCTGAGGATGGTGTAATCAAAATATGTGCATTTGAGAAAGAAACAGAAGAGCAACTGGAGTTTTAGAGACAGAGAAAGCTTGGAGCTGTAAGCTAACAACAGCTGAGGAGGAAGAAAGGTGTCTTTCCCTGGCAATCTGGTGTGGGAACAGTGGACTGGCTTTGTTGAATGTTAAGCTGTCTGCCTCCACCTATGCTTGACTTGCATATATTTATTTAATACATAATTTTGTTTTGCAAACTGCAGTACAATAAACAACAACAACAAAGCAAAAAGTTGCAGATTTCTCATGTATCATTGTTACAGGATATAATTGGGGAGGGGGATAAGAATTAAAAAATAATAATTAAAACAACTATCTAAAATAGCCTCTCCAAAATACAGCCCAGGTAGTTGGAAAAATTTGTAAATAAACCCAAATATTACAAAACATCCTAAGTTGCAAACGATGCTTCTATCCTGCCTGTTGTGCATCTAACAGTATGTTGTGTTGGCTCAGGCTGGTCTTTGCTTAGATAGAACAAAAAACCTTCACTCAGGAAGCATTACACATGTTCCAATCTACTACTCATGGTTGGCACAGAGTCCTCATAGGCAAACAGCTGTGCTTCTCCCACCTTGTATCAGTGGTGCCAACCTCCCCTCCCCAGAAAAGGGTTGTGTCAGTATTCAGTGGCATGTGATTATAAAATAAGAGTTCCTTGTGTGGCTCAGTCTAACCAATAGGCTGAGGTTCTTGAAGACTTTTTGCCTATATATTCATCATTTGTGTGAAGTTATAACAATTGGCCTAAGTCTCTCTTTTTAAAAAAGATGTCTACCTTGCAGTGTACCAGCAGATCTATCTCTTGCAGATTTGTGTGAAAGGTCCAAATGTTTTCAAGGGCTACCTGAAAGATAGAGACAAAACCACAGAAGCTTTAGACAAGGACGGATGGCTTCATACTGGGGATGTCGGGAAGTGGTTGCACGTATGTACTGAAATGCTAACTTTGCACACTAAGATTGCAGGTTTACAAGCCCTTCTAACCAAAGAAATAAGTGAATTAGACATTGATGTGTACGTCAGATCATGAGTATAGTGTGGATAAAAATTACTACTGTGTGATGTGAGTACCGTATTTTTCTCTCTATTACACACAGATTTTTTCTCCTAAAAAGGAAGGGGAAATGTCTGTGCATGTTATTGAGCGAATGTGGGGGGGGGGGGTCCCTGGAGCCGATTAGGGGAGCGCAGGAACAAAAATCAGCAAAAATCAAATCGTGCGTTGCGTCGGAGAGGGAAACCTGAAAAGAGGAAGTTGCTGCTTTCCTGCATTCTGCCTCAGGGTCTTACTGCCCACTCGCTTGTGTTTCATTGCTGTGTTTGCTCAAACGGAACAAAGAGCAGGCAAATCCCCTCCCCTCCAGGCAAGCAGAGGGGAAAGCAGAGGTCTTTCCTTCTAATTCCTCTCCGTGCTCCTCCTCGCAGGCAGCCAGAAAACATGCAGGAGAGAGAGAGCTGGCTTCGGTTTGGGGAAACTTTTGCCTTTCTTTCCTCCCTCCCGTTAAATCCCTCTCCTGCATTCTTAGCCAGCTGCTTCTCTGCACACCGCTCTCGTGCTCCTTGTCCCTTCTGTGTTTTTCCTTCCCTCCCCACTTAAAATGTAGTTACAAAGCATGGATCCACATGGATCCTCAGGATCTTTGGATTGGGCCACCCCAAATTCACCATCAGATCACATAGCAGCCTGCCCCCCAAAAATCACACACCCACTGTTGCCTGGGGCTGCAATGGTGCAAAAACGTGGTTAAAAAGCATGGATCCACATGGATCCTCAGGATCTTTGGATTGGGTCATCCCAAATTCACCATCAGATCACATAGCAGCCTGCCCCCCAAAAATCACCCACCCACTGTTGCCTGGGGCTGCAATGGTGCAAAAATGTGGTTAAAAAGCATGGATCCACATGGATCCTCAGGATCTTTGGATGGGGCCACCCCAAATTCACCATCAGATCACATGTCTGTGGCCACAGCATGAAGCACAAAAATGATACATCCACTGTTTCATTCAGAATTTTTTTCCTTGTTTTCCTCCTCTAAAAACGATGTGCGTGTTATGGTCAGGTGCGTGTTATAGAGCGAAAAATACGGTATATGCCAGACCTACATCAGGGTTCAGCTCTAACATCGGTTTCCTTCAGATTCCAACCCTCCCCCGGCCTTATTTTATGGGTTTATGGGCTACCTCGCAGCAATTGTCACAATTTACTGGTGGATAAGGCATTGGGTTGGATCCTCAGTATATGTGGGTGGGGCTGGAAGCCCCTCCCCTGCTCCATGGTACAGGGTATCCCCTTAATGGGAGCCTGGGGGAGGTACTTATTGTTCTGATGCCTAGCTTGGGAGCTAATGGGCTATAGCACCCCAAATGGTGATTTTGGGGTTTGCCCGGATATGATACATATTGTGATATGTATCTGTCCCTGTGGGGTGACCCATAACCTTGATCAACCCTGCCAATCATCCACCAGCAGTTGGGCTGGCTGAGTTCAGGATACCTATCCAATGCCTACCCCAAAACCTGCTGACACCAATAGTTGTAGCCTGTTAAAATCCCAACACTGCTGTTCTTTGTGTTGTTGTGATTAATGTTATACCTAACCCCCTCCCCGCCCATGGCTCTACTATGCCTGGGCCTGCCACTTTCTGTTAGGTTTCATAGATATTTGACCTTAGTTTCTTTGGCCAGTCTGAGAAATTTGAAATCCGTTTGAATTCTGCTGCTCAGAAGGGACCCAGTAAACTGGAGCTGAGTTGCAGGCAAGGCGATCTCACTTTTCCCTAGCTCTACGTGATTACTTGCTGCTGCATAAGCGAGTCCCCACTTGCAGACTTCCCTTGGGCATCTGATTGGCCCCTATGGGAGATAGGATGCTGGACTAAATTGGCCTTAGGCCTGAACCAGCAGACAGACTCTTCTTACATTCTTATGTTATTTTTTACTCACAGAATGGTACACTTAAAATAATTGATCGAAAAAAGCATATATTTAAACTGGCTCAGGGAGAATACATTGCACCAGAGAAAATTGAGAATATCTACATTCGCAGCGAGCCTGTCGCCCAGATATATGTGCATGGAGATAGTTTACAGGTAATGCTATCCATTTTCTAAACATTCTTTGAAATTTGGTCATGCCTTTTATACCATTTTGTATTGTTTCCTGGGTTGGGGGGGGTTGCATTTAGGAACAGGCAAGGTGTCATATTTATTCCATTTAATAATGTTCAAAATGGATACAAGATGTTGGTGTCTGTTACCTGTTGAGCAGGTAAGTTCAGCAGCTAGATACATAGTTTAATGAGAGGAGCACAGCATTTGCTCACTGATGTCCCAGGCACAAGGCATTCTGGGACATGTAGCAAACTTTCTGGCGCAGTGGTCATTGATTGACCTGCATACTCTATAAAGTCTGTATAGATCAATAGGGAAACAACTGCATAAGCAGAGTCAAGCAACACACCCACATGCAGATTTTGTAACATTTGGGGCCAACCTCCTAATGGAACTGGAAGAGCTGAAGGACTGTGGAGGAGAAGCGGGACTAACCTTACTGCAGAACTATTTACTGTATATGGAAGCCATTATCAAAAGTTAAGAGAACAGAGCTCTGCTCTGAACCTCCACTGCTGAGAAAACACACACACACAAACACACACACCTCTGACTCTTGTGATAAGCAGAAGTTGCTGTATCATTGTTTGAGGAATGGGGGCAAAGGGCAAAGAACTTGACAAGCACTCTTATTTAGGAAGCACAGATAAGAGAGCACAGCAAAATTCAAGGGATCAAGATGGGTTTGCTGTGTCACAAATACAGTCCCCAATTTTATCTGTATCGTTGCAGGCCTTCCTGGTGGGGATTGTTGTACCTGATGCTGAAATCTTGCCAGCCTGGGCCAAGAAAAGAGGCTTTGATGGAACTTTTGCAGAGCTCTGTAAAAATGCGGTAAATTGCTTATGTACATGTTCCTGTGCAATTCAGTGCCAATTTGGGCTGTGTGTGTGTGAACAGACAAACATAGATTATAATTCTAATTGGTAGATCAGAATTTGCCAGTGCACTGAAAGAGCCTCATGGCGAATGATGCAATACGATAAGCTGAAAGGCCAACTTCAATGTTACATTAAAAGCAGCCTTCCATATCCTGTTGCCCCCAAGATGTTTTGGACTCCCAGTAGCTCTAGCCAGCATGGCCAATGGTCAGGGATGATGGGAACTGTAATCCAGAATATCAGGAAAGCACCAAGATGGGAATGGCTGAATTAAAACAGTTCTGCTAATGTGCTTGGATCTGACTGTGACTTTTTTTTTAGAAAAAAAGCAGCTATAGGGGGCTCTGAACTGGATCAGATCCACAGCACGGAACGAGGGAGCTTAACCATGCCCTGTTTTCCTGCTAATAATAATGCCCCCAAAGGACATATTTACTGCTTTGGATAGTTTTCAGGCAAAAAGGGAAAAGGGGTTTTAATCCTGGTCAGGATTCCCACAGCTTCTTTTCATAAAGAAAGGCACAGCCAAGTCCAAAGCACAGTAGTTAAAACTGCTTTTAACATAATGTGTAATTCTGGCTCTAAGTAGCTAGGTGATTACTGTGTTAAGAGACTGGGACATCTGTTAGAAAGATTCCATTAGATAAGCAAAGCTCTGTCCTATAACAGGAGCTAATATAACATCTTGGGTTTTTTCCACTTTCTTTATCTGTACTGTTCCATTGCTACAAGATGACATCTATTTTTTTGCACAGTGAGATATGCTTTTGTTTCATTTTGTTTTTTGGGAGCTTGGAATGTCTGAGCCAGAGCCAAATCATGTGATTTCTCTGCTGTTGCCTAGACAAGATAAAGATTGCAGTAATGTTCCAGAAAGAAGACAGCAAAGCTACTAAAGAGCAGGTTTTATTTCTTCTATGGGTGTTCCAGCACATTTACCTTTGGTGGAAGCCATAAGTGAAGGACCATAGCTCAGTGGTGGACATATGTACTGCTTGCAAAAAAGGGTCAAGATTCTCAACACCGCCCGGATGTTCCAGGGATTGAAAGACCCCATGTCTGAAACCCTGCAAAACTGCTATGAGTCAGTGTAGGCTATCCTGAACTAGATAGACAAATAAGGCTGTAATCCTATCTCTGCTTACCTGGGAGTAAGTTCCATTGAACTCAGTAGGACTTACTTCTAAGTAGATGCCTACGCTATAATCCAGGGACTTGGTTATTAGAACACTAAGGAAGTAGACTATAAGCACTTTCTCTTTAGATTGCCAGCTGATCAGGGCTGGGACCTGGCCTCTGTGCAAAATGCAATTCATATTGACAGCATTAGATAAATAACATTGAAAAGGGCATCAGTGTAGGGTGTAGAGAATATTTTCCGTGGAATGGAATGGAATCTACTATTTTGGAACTGGCGTTATAAGATATAGTTTTAGTCACTGAACTCCTTTGTACTTTAATTTTAAATGCAAAGAGGAAAGTGAGAGCTCAGAGCTCTAAGAACAAGTTCCAAGACAACATGCCAGAATAAGAATTTAAGTCTTTGTCCTGTAAACTGTGTTCATGCTTGGGAAATTTAAATCAAGGAGGTATTTCAGACACTTCTGCATGAAGACTAGGTAAAGGTAAAGGGACCCCTGGCCATTAGATCCAGTCGTGACCGACTCTGGGGTTGCGGCGCTCATCTCGTTTATTGGCCGAGGGAGCCGGCGTACAGCTTCCGGGTCATGTGGCCAGCATGACTAAGCCACTTCTGGCGAACCAGAGCAGTACACGGAAACACCGTTTACCTTACCTATTTATCTACTTGCACTTTGATGTGCTTTTGAACTGCTACAGGACCAGAATTCCTTAGGGATGGGCAATGTTTTTCAAGCTGAGGGCCACGTAACCTTCTGAACAATCTTGCAAGGGCTACTTGCCAGTAGTGGCCAAAAATGGGTGGAGCAACAAATGTAAATTTTACCTTTTGTACAATAGGCTATTTTGTACGAACACTCAAGCACCCTGCCTCTATCCTCCCCATGTCAGAGTTCAAAGACACGTTCCAGGTGGGCATATTTGGATTGCGAAGCTTGGCATGTGAAGGGTGTGACCTGAGGAGAGTTCCAAGGGCCAGACAAAGAGGTCGGGGGGGGGCACAATTCATCCCTCTGCCTGATATTTCCCATCCTTGCCCTACACAGTATAATCACATTTCACCCTCTGCTTCTTTGAAAAGTTAATTGTCAACAGAGAGCCAAATAAATAATTATTTAAATATTGGAACATGTATTTGAACAGGACTTCCTGGCTGTAAATGTTCTCATATGTTCTTACCTAGGAGCTCAAAAAAGCAATAATGGAAGATATGGTGCAGTTAGGGAAAGAGAGTGGACTTCATTCGTTTGAACAGGTAAATACTAAATACTGATGATAGCTTTTGATTACTAGATGCAGATGAGCTTCTTCTTTGTGACTGAATAGCAGGGATTTTAGCATGCATTATATAAAAGCCCCAATGCCTCGCTTATGCTTTGTGGTTCAGTACTCAAGTGTGTATTTTTCTATGAAATAAAACTATCCTTGTCTGTTTATGAATGCATGAAAGGTAATGTTAAAGAAGGTCTCTCTCTATGATAGATAACATGATAAAATATTTGAAACACCATTCCATTCAAGCTGAGAGCAGTACTGGAAAGTCAGCTTAATTACCATTCTTGTAGCTGACCTGGAAAATACAGCTGTTCTGTTTGTCCCCCATCCATGGACTAATCTCCTCCTGACGTAGGTATTTTTGTGGCAGACCTACAAACCTCCAATAAGGGAAGTTCAAAAATGGACATAATGTACTCCTCTCTCTCTCTCTCTCTCTCTCACACACACACACACACACACACACATATCATTTAAGAAGCGTGATCTAAAATAAGGTCATGTTGTGATTCTATTATTTTAAAAAACACAAATGTAACAGCTGTAACATTCGTATAATTCCTAACCGTGCCTGCATTTGTGCACTAGATTTGGCAACAGCATAATAAATGCACTTGCAGTGTCATAATGCATGCACTAAACAAGAATAGAGACTGTAGAAACTAATTCCACATAAAGCTTTCCTGCTTTTTCAAAAACTGGTCTATAAAAAAATGTTGAGAACTTACTGTCTCTTAAAATTGCTTTTTCTCCCATGCTGTAAACTTCCCTGTGATGAAATATACTAATCTATCAATTCATCTAATATAATCCTTGAGGGTATGGGGGGCACATATGCCTCTGTTCTCTGCATCATTTCAGCACTGTGTAGTGAGGTGGGCGGGGGGAGCACTCCTAAATGAATTCTTAAAATCACAAGCAGGAAACATGGGTACAAAGAAGATATTAAGGGCAAAGCCTTTTCCTCTATAGTCACTGCCAGTTGCTTGGGTAATGATTTTGGGTGTTCTTAGCTCAGGGAGGCAACAAAGAATCAAAAATATGCAAGTTGCATTGTACCCAGTATCTCTTATAATGAGCTCCTGACACTTAAATGAACAAATGCACATTTAAACATCATAGTTTCCTATGAGGTCTATACTCAGGATTAACACTTGATTTAACACTGCTTTCTGCAACATAGAAGATGGATGGCTAATGTGTTACTCTTTAATTGTAAAAATGCAAATAAAACATAAATGATCCTTAAGTTGCTTCCAGAATTAATGCTTAGCACCAACACATTTTTCACAGCAGCAGCAAAGATTTTGCCAACATGAAACTTTGAAGTGGGCACTGCAGTTCATTTTCAGTGCTAAAGGTAGTCAAGTGTTTTAATAGTTAAAATTTAATTTCCCCTAGTGCCAGTTATTTCTGCAGAAGGAGGAGAGAACTCAGCATGTCCTCATTATGTCTCAATCCTAGAATCAAGCCTTTTAAGATTGGTTTTTGATGCAGAAATGTATTTTTTAAAGTCTGTTGCTAAAATATACATTGTGTCTGCCATTAAATGCCAAGTGATAACAACAGCCAAATTTAGAATTTCTATTCCAAGGTATATATACCAAAGCAACAGGCACAGAACCTCATCCATGCAGCAAGCTATGTCATTCTCAAATAAGCATGCACAGGATTGCACACTAAATTTGTTCACCTTTCAATAACAAGCCAAGCAAATAAAGAGCGACAAAACTTCCAAATATCTAAATAGTCTGGGTTGTATTAAGAAGTCAGATAAACGAAAATACAGAGTGACTGCTTACTATAATTTATGCTGTAAAAGTCACATGCTTTGCCCTATTGGGAGGGGGGGGACCTTTTGTTCAAAAAGCCAGTGTATTGGGCAAAGCTAGGGACATTATTGATGAATTTCTGCAACTAAAAGGCTGAATTTAAAAGTAGGCAGGTGTTAGCACTGGGCTATTACATCCTACAAAGGAGTGGGTGTGCAGAATAATACTTGGCAGAGTGACCAGTGTGATATGTCTGGAACACAGCTATCAAATCAGCTGTTTCCTTTTATTCAACGTTACAGTATATTTTTATAAACATGTTGACTTGTTTTCCCCCCTCATAGGTTAAAGCTGTTTACATCTACCCCGAAATGTTCTCTGTACAAAATGGTTTGTTGACACCTACGTTAAAGGCTAGGAGACCAGAGCTGAGAGAATTTTTCAAGAAACAGATAGAAGAGCTTTATTCAAGCATCTCCATCTGACACCAGGGGAAAGTTCTTCAGAATAATGGACTCTGTAGCAACATTAGGATAATACTGAAACGTGAAAAGGGCGCAGTTGAAACGAATAAGCATCTGACCTTCCACGCGAGCCTTCTGTTGTCGGAAGACACCATCACTGAGTAATTCTTTTACCATCTAGTTCTAGTTCCTCTTGTTGTAATGGATGCTCTTGAAGATTGCTTAAAAACATACTGGACAACCGTTAAAGCTACTTTCAATCCCACTCCTTCTGAAAGCATTTTACAGACACCTTTGTTATTAATACCTGCAAAAACATAAACAAAGATCCCTTAGCAAACAGGAAAGAAAAGCAGACTGGACCTGCCCATTTTGTATGACACTCCTCTAAGCTCCTGGATGATTCAATAATGTGATAGGGTTTCCAGATGTCTCTCTGTATGGGTACCATTAAGAACTCTTTAGAAGCAAGCAGTTCCCAGGTTGCACATCATGCACACACCTTCCTTAGCATGGTACGGCACCTTCCTTCGTGTGGTGTAGCTTCACCCTTGGCTGCTACTGCGTGCATATGTGGCCAAGAACTCCTCACTGCAACTGAGCTCTTAAAAGTACCAGGGTCCCACTCAGCGAGATATCTGACAAAGACTAGTGGTCTACCTCAATGTTCTTGGATGCTCAAAGCCAGAAATAAATCTGTTACCCTGATGTAGAACTTAAAACTGGAATTGTTTAATCGTTCTTTAAGTGGTAGCACATGCTTTCCCTGCAAGACATAAATTGAATTCACCTTGTGTGAGCCATTCACAAAAAGAACAGATGGGAGGAAGAGTTTGGATTTCATATGTATCGAAGTAGGAAGAGCTTTGGATTTCATGCCTACTTAATACAGTGTAGTGGCACGTGCTGGGTGAATGCTAACCTGTAATTGCCAGAAATGTCAGAAATGTTACAGGCCCTGGAATTTTTTGTATTTCTTGTGTCTTGGATGTCTCTGAAATTAGCAAGGGATCTCTGTGGCTGCTCCTTTTAAAGAACTGACTGCTTTGTGTTGTGGCAGCTACCTGACAGCAACTTGCAAAACAGAAGGATAGTTGGTATAAACATGCTGCATAATTTTGCAGCTTCCACTCCCCACCACCCCAGTGGATTCCAAATAGAATAGGGTTTTGAGTCAGAGCTTTCCCTTTGCAGCACTTTATAGCGGTGCACTTCAGGAGAACTGAGCTGGCTTCAAATAATTTAAAGAGGATGCAGAGTCTTAACAGCTGTTTGGCCACATCATCTGACTTTAAAGCAGCTTCTCCCAGCTTCTTCTTCCACCAGGCTTGCATCTACTCCAAGTCCCCACCTCTTATTCTCATGCATTCTGATAGCAGGCACTTCTGAGCAAATAGCAGTAAAGGCTTCACTCCCTTGACAATGGCCTTGAGAGGGATTCACTTGACTGAATAATAAAAATAAATGTAGAAAAAGAGCCTGTTCCCATATTTTTTTAGGCCAACACCGTAGAAATTTGCCTAAATAAATATTCCATGTTTCAGTGGAGAAACTAACGCTTGCTCTGGAGAACCTGCACAAGCCTTCTTATGATGCCCAGGAATTGCAAGTACTGTAGATCAGGGATGGGAAACCTGTGGGCAAGCCAAGTGGTGCTGGACACCCAAGGGCCCATCTGCCAGCACATCCAGTAGTCAGAGCTGATAGGACCTGCTGAAGTTCCCTCTCTTTTATGCAACTACTAAAGGTGCAGGGGCCATGTCCCCTTCTGCATCTGACTACCTTAAATATAGTTTTCTGCTCTGAAGTAGTCATTTGATTCAAGGGTTGGGAACCTGCAGCTGAGCTAAAACTCCATTCACACCTGACAGTTGACCATGCTGGGTGAGGCTGATGGGACTCAGGAGTTCAACACCATCTGGAGGGCCACAGGTTCCCTAGCCCTGGCATAGTTAGTACTAGTACTTGCATACAGGAGGACACAAGAAGATCTCTGCTGGATCAAACCTAAACCCAGTCTACTCCACCATTCTGTTTCTACAGTGGCCTGCCAGGTGTTCATGGGAATCCTGCAACATGAGGGTAGCAGCACCATTCCTACTTGTATTCCTGACACTGGCAGTAGATCATAGCTATCAATACTAGTAGCCATTGATAGCTTTACCCTCCATGAATTTGTTTCTCTTTTAAAGCCATCCAAGCTGGTGGCCATCAATATCTTGCGGTAGTGAATTCCACAATTTAACTATGCACAAAAGTAGTATTTCCTGAAACTTCCAACATTCAACTTCATTGAAGAAAAGCTTTTCTATATATACTTTCTGCACATCATGCATAATTTCATACACCTCTGTTATGGATGCGTGTTTGCCTTTTCCCCAAACGAGAAAGCCCTAAATATTGGGCTCTTTCCTTATAAAGGAGTGTATTGTTTTGGTTGCCCTTCCTGCACAACTATTCCTCAGTGGTGGCAGTGGCAGGGTTAGGTGAATGTCTGAGTTCAAATGCCATAGCTATATGAACACAGCTATAGAACCGAATCCAGTGCTAACAGGTTGTACGGCTTTCTTGAAACTGTCTCCCCAGACGTAGTTCAGATTTTCTAAAGTTCTCAACACACAGCACCTTGCATGGAGAAAGAAGCTTGTGACCATATTAATACAGGAGCTGCTTCTGATGTAAATCAGCATGAGTGGAAAAGCTGAAAGGTGGTGAATAGGATGGCAAGGTTCAAAAGAAGGCTTTCTGTATACAAGAGGGAATTTTAGCATCTGCAGTCTGCATGAATTTCCCCATATATATCACTATTCAAGGAGCAGCAACTTATCTTTTTTGCACCTGGAGCTCCCTAATGAGCCACAATGCTCACATATATTGATATAAGGAAAGATCAGCTTAGATGTTACTTTTTCCATGAGGAAACCTGGGAGGTTTTAGGACATCTGAACTATCCATGAGACATCAAGAAGTCTTGGGCTTGTTTGAGCTGAAGTAGACCTACTATCTCCATATCATCTTACCAATAACTATGGTGTTAAATGATTTATCCACATGGAGCTGCTAAATCAGTCAAGTTGAAGGGTGACCAAAGTGAACTTAAGATTGCAAGATTTTTTTTTAGAAATTAGAGAGACAGTGAATTAATGAGCAAGTGTTTATGCTGAGCCTGGTTAATTAATGTCTGTTCTGAACAAACTGTTAAGATTTCAAAAGTGACTGCACTTTTGAAGTAGTACTTCCAGTACAAAAAGTACTTCTTTTGTAGTTTTCAAATGCCTGTTCTGATTTCTTGATAGCCCAGCTACAAAGGTTTCACTTCATGCTTAAACTTATCTGATTATCCAGGTTCTATCAGTGCAAAAGCAGAATTAAAGCCAGTAATTTAGGCTTCACTGTCTGGGCATAAGTGTCACTGAACTCAATGGGACTAACTTCTAGTAGCTATGTATAGACTGCACTGTTAGATCCACACTTGAATACTAGGCTGCAATTTTACAGCAGATAATGAAGGTACACAAGTTTGTTGTGTGTGTTCTTTTCATTTAGGTTAAGGCATTGCTTGGGAATGATTTTCTAAATGCTTACTTCCCTGAGCTATAAACACTGGAGAAAACTGGCCCACAGATTAAAAGCAGGTCTATATGAAATTGAGGATTTGTAGTTGGCACTGGCTCTAAAATTCTCTCATGGCCCCAATTTACAATCTACAAAGGTTACTTAGATATTTATTGAACTTTTACTTGAAGCAGTACATAGGAACATATTGGGCAGGATCCAGCCAAAGCCCCTTGGGTATGATCCAGCCACCATTCTCTTTGATTTCAGTTAGACAAGCATTTTCTTAAATCTTAGATATTTTCTAGTGAAACCAAGAGTTCTTAAAATGGTTAACACTGGTTGGCTCTAGCATATTTTTCTTAAAGAAAAAAATTCAATTGTGCATTTCCCTTTATTGAGGAATTGCAATTCCTTAAACCGCTATAAGGAAAATCCCAGTAATCACAATTGCCCACTCTAGTGGCTGAGTTGTGAATGTTGTTCAATATACACAAACCCACACAAGGTTTGCAGAAAAAGGAGCCAAGCTAGAGCTTGGCCCTATATGCTTGCTAAACATTGCAGGATGCATTACACCACAGTTAGGCAAATAGGACAAACACTATGGCCTAGGGACAGATTGCTATCTGCCTGTCGTTTGCAATGGATATCTGTCTCTGGATTCAAAGACTACTAGGGAGTAGGCATCCTTGAACTTTAGGTGCCCTTTATATGATATGACGGTAGCATGAGAGCCACTTACTCCTGGCTTTATGCCACATTCATGCTGCAACATTTAAGAGCCTGGCAGCACTTGAGTTAAGCATCATACCGGTCCTTCCCCTTTTACCTCACTTTTACCTCATCACCCTTTTACCTCACTTATGAAACAAGTACATTAGAAGAACCCATTGCTGCTGTGCTGGTTGCCCACATGGCCATGTGCTTTTAAAAGTTATAAAGGCAAAATATAATGCCATGACACTAATGAATGAATGTGGTTCCTACATTGTACCCAGAATACAAGAAGGACACCTTACCGAGTAAACATGCATACCCTGAGCTGTCAGTACTTAAAGAAAGACATATAAAAGCATAAATCAGAAAATGAACTAGGTTTAAATAAATTGTAAGTTTTCCTATATCAGCAAATGTGCATATGCCAGTTTAGGATATGCACTATTACACCAGTATAATCACGGGATTACAATGTTACCACACCAAAGGCTATTGCTTGTGGTGTGGGAATATTATTTCCTATCAGAGTTTTTTTGTACTAGCACTAGTACCTGATCCTAAAAAGATAATGTAATATATGGGAGATAGACAAAGTGCTGCCCTACAGGTATTGATGGATTATGAGCTCCATCATCTCTGATCACTGGTTGTGCTTGCTGGTACTCAAGTGGAGGTGCATCAATGTCTGGAGGGCAACAGATTGGCACAATGACACCTGCTATGATGTTATGCCAGCAGGAAAGATCAACACCCCAGCCAGTTAAAATCAGAGTTCATGGCCATCATGACATGCTAGTCAAAACAGAGTCAGCAACCTTTGGCCAGCCAATCCTGGATTTTGTATATACTCTGAATCGGATTGCAAACTACAGTGAAAAATAATAGGTCAATTTATCATCAAAAGCACTAGAATTAAACCAAAACAAGTTCAGAATACATAATAATGGGATTTATCTATTCGTTATACACCCATTCTATGAGCCCATTAAACAGTTCTGCTGCTGACACTCTTGGATGATACTGATGATATAGATCTTGTTTCAGTCAAACACCAAGACGGCCTTGGCTGCTGATTTATGCTGAGAAAAGGGATGGGGGATTGTGACCCAAGATCTCTTGGTGGATTTTGCAACCATCTGGTATCCAGTATCCAACTGGACAGTTTCTCTCCATTGGAGGTTGGATGCACTGTACTATACTTCAGTGGTTCCACTCCTACTTTGATGATCAGTTCCAGAAGGTGGTATTTGCATTATGGGGCCCTGTGGTATTTACACAATGGGGTCCCCATGTTTCTATCTTGTCTTCTATTTTCCTAAATACATACATGAGCTTAGCAACACCATTCAGGGATTTAAGAGTGAGGTGCTGCCAACAAACTGATGTCATAGAGCTCCACTTCCAGACGAAGCAATGGAGGTGCTGAATTGGTATGGATCATTCATGGCTCCAGACAAGAAAGAGGTGAATGGTTTGTCAGAGCACAGAAGTGTTGTTGAACCAGTTCCCTCTTAAGGAATCAGGTTCATAGTTTGGAAGCAATCGTCCAACACTATCACTGGAAGTCTAAGTGTCACCTGTGGCATACAGTGTTCCCAGCTAAGGATGATGTGCTAGTTGCAACTCCTCAACAGAGGTAGCACGGCCACATTTATGCCCTAGTAACCTCCATATACTTTATACTACTACAGTGCATTACAAAGGCTTCTGAAGATTTCTCAAAAATTTCAGCAAGTTCAAAATTCAGTTGCCTCAGTACTTACTGGGATTGGCCTTATGGAACATATCACTTTTCTTAACTGCCTCTGCTTTGGACACAATTCAAACTGCTGGTGGCCACCTTTAAACCCTTAGATGGCCAATGATCCTGGGTCCATAAAGGGTCACCTTTTCCCATAAAATGTTATTTTATGGGAAAATAAAAAAAATTCTGCCCAAATTTTATTACCACTAGAGATCATTTTAAGAGATCCTCCCTGTGTCACTTAAGTTAGGTGTGAGCAGAGAGAGGGCTTTCTTTGTTGTGGCACTTCATAAGTCAAATGTCCTCCCCAGACTGCTGCTACCTGTTGAATACCGTTTTTATTATTTTAATACATGTCCAGTGTAGATTGCTTTAAGTGACATTTTATTGGTTCTACTGGTTATTAATATGCACTATTATACTTCTGTTGATTTGATTTTCTGATTTTTTAAAACTGAGTTTTATTGTATTAGGTATTTTCTTCCAGCTCTTTTTACCTGATGGCTAGTATATAAATATTTTTAATTAAAATAAAGAATTTTGAGGGCAAGGGAACAAAAATGGTGATCCTCTCCAGTTATCACTCTGCAAGGCAAGACCATCCAAAGATCAGGTGCTTAGGTGGACAAAAGAAGACTTCCTCAAGCTAGTGCCCTACAGAGGTTTTGGATTACAATCTCCATCAACCCCAGCCAGCATAGTCAGTGGTCAGGGATAAGGGGAGCTCTAGTCTAAAATGTCTGGAGGGTCCCAGGTTGGGGAAGCTTGAGCTAGCTCACCTCAGGTTCTGGTAGGAGGGATGGGAATAATGGTCATGCCCCATGACCCTGAGCAGATAAGATGAAGCAAGCTGGTTCTACATTCCTAGAACTTAACTAAGGAAATGCACAGTATTTAAAGATGAGTTGTGTTCTTAGTTATTAGAGGGAATCTCTGTGTTAGCTGGTTCATACATGCATGTTCATCACTTGATGACTTGTGGTTATTGTGTGAACTGTGTCCACCAGAAAAGCATGGCATTTGATACGAGGTGAAGTAAGACAATATGGAGGTTTTGTTCCTGGTCAATGACATCTATTTTCCACACACGTCATCTCTTCATTTTGGAACCTCATCAAAGTGATAAACTTGCATGTGTAAATCTGCGATGGGCTGAACCAGGGCCTAAGTAAATTATACAAGAAAATTCAGTCATTACTGCAGGTTTAAAATCGTATTACATAGTTTTGTATTATGAATACCTGTTGTTAAAGTCTTCCCCATAAAATATCAAAGAGCCAAAAAGCATATACAAGTGAAATAAAAAGCACTATTAGGACCTATTTATTTGACAAATCACCCTGCAGTCAAATGAGGATTTTCAGCGTATCCTGCATGAAAAGAAGCTGCAATTCCTTTACAAACATTTTTGCAGCACATGACTGGTAATGACAGTAAAATCTTGTATCTTGTCAATATCTTGGATTTGATTATTATCGCATATATCAAAAAAGCAGCTTCTATCTTTTAACAGGTTTCTTTTTTTGAATGCAACAAATTAACTTGAACATTATAAACTATTGTTTTCCATCTGTGAAAAGCACAAACTGGTGATCTATATGTAAATAAACTATGACATGAATGTAAACTTTAAAAGTAATAATACTATTTTTGCATGAAATCTGACAAAGAGATGTACTGGTTCTCACAGAAAACTATGGAAATATTTCATCTAGGGATTATTAGTACAATAGATGGAACACTGTTTTCTTTTGAAGTAAACAAGCTTTTGCTAAAACAGAATTTTTCTTGCTTTGTAGAATTTACCAAAATGAAAGCTGGAAGCTTGGATGCTTTAGAACTAATGCTACCCAAGCACTAGTGAGATTCAATCTGCAATCTTATATATGTTTGCCTGGGAGTAAGCCCTCCTGAAAATAAGTGCAGCAGTTTTATGTAGAATTAGAAATTTGGCCTGATAATGGCCCAAATGAGGTCTGCACACAATGAATCAGGGTTAGATATGTTAGGAAAAATCCCCCCTCCCGCCACTGAACTAGAATGCCTACTCTTTCTGCTGCTACTGGGGAGTTTTTCCTGACTACTGTTTTCCCCATAAGAGTTTCTATGCCACAAAAGTATTTATGTTAAATCTGTCTCTTTGTCCTTAAGAGTACACTGATTGACAGGGACAAAGGAATGAATGTCTTATGAATTTGCCCATCAAAGTCTCTCCCCCCCCCCCCCCAGCCCTTAATACCGCTATGGCAGGAGGTGTTGTAAGTTAAATGATTGAGCTCTATTTTCAAACCAAAATGAGGTCAAATTGCCAACTGCATTGTTCATTTCATCTCCTTTGGCTTGAATGTGTAGCAGAATGGGCTGGTGTTTTAACTCCAAAAATGCCAGAGGAAAGAGGCATTATAGAGGCATATGTAGTAGGCATGGTGGTAGGGTGGCCAGGTAATGGTGACTGGTGGGGTTACACACTACTACAACGCTCATTCCACTCTAGGCAAGGCACTACAGCCATGAACTTTGATCTTAAAAGGACTGCACTAACTGCAATGAAAGCTCCCAAAATAGCTATAACCACCTTTTAAAAAAGCAAAAGAAAAGCGGGACAGCAGTTAGAAAAAGATGGAAGTAAATGGCTGGGGAGATTTACCTGAAATCTTGCAAATACTGTAAAGTGAATAAGCAAATGGCTTTTACTATAGAGAAAATGACTAGTGTGGAAGCATGTACTTATTATTATCACTGCAGGTTAATGAGAACCACCACCTCCATACCACCAAAGTACTGATCTAGTATTGATAGCTTGATGAACTGAAATGGAGAGGCAGCATTGCTGAGTGGGGCGCTGAGCATATTCATTCTGCTTTCCTATTTATAGCAGCATCCCTAAGTTCTATAGAAGTAGTCAATGCTTCTTTTTTTTATTTAAAAAAATGAGGTTCTGATACTTACATTGATAAAAAGTGCTGTGGGTGGCAGCACAAAATGCTGGCATGGACAACCAAAAAAGAGGTGATGGTACTCTGTACCAGAGAGTACAGAGAGAGAGTACAAAATTATTGCAAGTAGTGAAACTAAGTAGACCAATAGCAGCTCCTGCCAAAATCCTATCTTAAGTTCCAAAAGTTATCCTGGTATGGGGGAAGCAGATAATCACTGAAGGTTGATCCAATATCCAATAACACTAAATTAGCCAGAAAGCGCTGTACTAAATGCAAATTCACTAAGATGGCAGTCTCTGTAAGCAAAAGGTGGCTGCATGTTTAGGCATCAGCAATCACTAGGAAAGTCAAGACTAAGTACCTGAACTCAAGTATGCAATTCTTCTGCTTTGCGTGTGTGAGCGCGTGTATGTGTTTTAAGGCCAACAGCTTCAATAACTTGCAAAAAGCCAATTTGGACCTCTGTAGTAAGATGTACATATTTATTTCAATGGGATTTGCTTACAAGTAGGTTTTGGGCTTCTTAAAAAGTAGGGGCAGGGGGAGGTTAATTAGCATTACTTAGGTTGCAATCCTGTGCACTTACCTGGAAGAATTCCATAGGATTGCACTGTTAAGACTGTGAACCTGATAGATGATGAAGTTAAGCAATAAATAGTCTGTTTTATGGGTGTCCAGTTGTAAGGGATAACAGAATTATTGTAACTTTAGCACTTTTGAAAAAAAAGAGAGAAAGACAGTAATTTAAGTAAGTGCAGCTTTCGTTGATGCTGCATGATGAGTTGCATCTGCCAAAAATGTAAATCCCAGCAGCCATGGGAAATCGGTAGCTGTCCAGATGTTAGCTTATGCCATCCCTGACCTTTGGTTGCGCTTGTTGGGACTTATGGGAGTTGGGAGACCAACAAGCTATGGAGGGCCTACATGTTCCCCATCCCTGTGTTAAATGTGCAGGAGCTCAGCACTCTTTCACATTTGGTCACACTAAAGGACTTGCCGCAAAAGCAGTTCATGATCAGGGAAGAAAACAAAGAAACAAAAAAGACCCCAACAAACACCAGCCACAATTGTTTTCAATTAGGATTTTTCTGTGAGACAACAGCACTTCTGTAAAAACCTTACCCTATCTATCATACCGCAATAGAACAACATGCCTGCATTCAAATAAGAGTAAAACATTGCAAGTCAAACAGCCATTTCCCCTCAATATACTGCTTATTCTATTTTCAACTAAAGAAAAATGAAGAGATTAAAATGCAAGGACTTATTTGTTTAAGAACAATTGTAATTAAATATTCTATCCTCCCTAGTTTTGGTATATCCGCATGTATACCTAAAATACAAAGAAGCAAATGTGGGATTTTTGTTTTGTAAAGAACTGAAAGACTGTCAGGTTTCTCAAATTTGTTAATATTCCTCTTGACTGACAAATAAAATATTTTATACAAAAATTGTTTTATTCTAATATTTTGTCTATGTGGTCAGTAACTAGTCATTCAGAAATGAGTGCCTATACCTATACTATATTATGCTTGTTTTCTTTTCTTTTTTTTTAACAACCAAAGAAATACTGCATTCTGAGGTCCATATCAGAAATCTATGCTTTCTGACTTCAATGTCTTTGCAGATAAAGAGGAAACTGTCTGCAATCGCTTGAATTTATTCTCGTTATAAAACTGGCAGTAACAACAGAAGAAAATGTATGAGCTTGTTTAACATGAATGGATGGGAATGTATAGTATTTTTTCAGACCACGTGTTTCAAAGAATAAAGTCAATAGAATTATTCAGCTTATTTTCCCACTCTCTGTATTAATGTAGTCTTCAATTGATCCCCTTTTTATATATTTCCCCCCTCATGGTTTAACACAAACGGACAAGAGACTCACTATTTTCAGTGGTTCAAAGTCAAAGCAGCCTTGTATGCTGTAACTTTAGCAGAGCAAGAGAAACAGATGCCCAAACAGGTGTGGGGCCACTCAAGGACTCAGAGAGGAAGATTCACGCAAAATCTATCACCGCTATATATAATTCAATTTTATTAGGTGTGCTTTATGCTGGTGGATCCTGTTCCATAAATTGAGAGTTAAGTTTGGAACTCTCACATTGCACTGCTCTTCTAGGGCTTCCCCATCTTAGAAAACGGGTAGCGAATTGAATTGAATTAATTGAATTAATTGAATGTTTGAACACTTCCTCTGTAACAACAAACAACATCATCTGTCTGTGGGATGCCCTGATTTGCACAAGAACCTTTGGGGGGGGGCAGGAGATGGGGGAGAATTCCAATATGCAATAGCTCACATGGATTCTGAAGTAGTACCATTCCAAGAACTTGGGACCTCATGACTCATAATCATAGAGACAAGGAAATACTGTACATCTAATACCACCATTGGTCTGTTTAGCTGAGAATTGTCTATAACTGGCAGTGGGTCTCCATGGTTTCAGATAAGGGTCTTTCTAAGCCCCACCTGAAGTGGCTAAGGATGGAGTCTGTGACCTTCTGTATGCACCATAAATTCTCCATCTATTTAGCTACAGCATCTTCCCCTGAAGGAATTCAATTAAGAACAATTGTATGCCAGCCCTAGTATCTTTAGAGTCACTAGCTTGAAATACTCATCATGTCAGGATTACCAAATTTGAAACACACAGAGGAATTATTGTCAACACCAGTTCACAGTGCCACCTACTGAACATCAACATTGCTGTGCATATACATATGTGTGTGTGCACGCACACACACACGTACACAAACACACACCCAGCTTAATTCAACATACAACTCACATTTCACATTTTAATTATTGTTTAGGTTTTCCCCTCAAACCTCAGTATTTCATGCCAGTTTGGTGTTTGCAAATAGCAAACATACTGCTTTCATCAACACCTATTCACATAGCATTTGATAGACTGTATGTACTCAAAAACAATATGCCTCTATTAAAAACCTCATTACAACTTCCACGTCAATTAATCCGTCAGCAAAATCACAATAAAAAGTACAGTAAAGGTTTGCCCATGTTGTTCCAAATTGGTCAGCACTACTAATCAAGACTATGCTATTATATTACTCCCTTAATCACACTCCCTTAATCATATGAGAATTTCTGCACAGACTAGCTTGATATTGGGGATGTACTGCTGCTAGTCTGAGGTTCTTTTGCCATTGCAAAACCATATTTACTCGAGTCTAATGCACCATCAAATCTAATGTGCACCTTAATTTTCAGACCCTTGAAACCAAAAAAAGTATTTGCTGGCAAATGTAAAGGTGCCATCAAATCTAACTTTAATTTTCGCAGAGTAATTTAGCCAAAAAAGGTGAGCATTAGATTTGAGTAAATACGGTATTTGATATTTGGTGGGATGTGCATGTATGTTGCCATGGGCAACCTCCAAGGATCCTTACCCTTCCTGGTTCTTTTATTTGCATGGGACTAATCCTTATTACTGGGTCCCAAGAAATGCCCTTGAGAAGAAACTACTCCTAGGCAAACAGCACCCCCTCTTCCCAAAACAAGCAAAACACACTCAGACAAAACCATACACATCAAACCACACACAGTTGGCCAAGCACAATGCCTGTCCAATAATCTAAAACATAAAGGAAAGCGCACACAACTTTACCATGCAGTGACAGTTTTCTTTCTTACCAGACAGTGACGGTTCTCTCTCTCTTTTAAAAATAATATTTTTCTTCTTCTCAGTGTTTTTCTCTTATCCCTCCCAAATTTACGACGGTTTGGCTGGGAGACAAAGCTAACTCTTGGCCTCCACCTGCCCCACCCTCTTCCTTTCCTAATAAATTTGGGAGTCCTCCTAGAGGTATTCTGGGAAGAAGAAAGGAAAATGGCCGAATGGTTGAAACGCCTCCTACAGGTAAAAATAGAAGGGGCTCGAGGCCTGCAGGGGACCCCAGACTTAAAGTATTTATCAACACAGGTGCAGGTATGGATCAGGTCCTGTGACCTGCGTTTTGGTTTGACTCCTTTATTTCTGCCACGCCAGAAGCCTCAGGACCTCCTGGCTCTTTGCTTCTGCCATTTGTGTTCTCTCAGAATGGGGCTGAATTTGAAACCTGAGGCAGTTCTCAGTAGGGGAAGGGGAATACCCTGAGGCGAGACCGCTGCCTCCTCTCAGTTGCTCAGGCAGTATTTGTATTATTTAATCCAAATGTTTCATTTTCTTTTTGCTTGGTTGCATGATCTTTTGCAGGCAGTTCCAGTTAAAGGCATATCCACGCTGAAACAAAAAGTGGGTTTGGACGTAGCTTGCAGCCTGAGGAACCTTGGGAAGTGTAGTTCTCTGAGGGAAGCGGGGCTGCCTGCCTGACAGAAAATAGTCAGCACCTTCAAAAAGTTATTATTCACAGAGTGGGTAGGGAACAGTAGCAAGTAGGTGATTTTTAGGTATGTGTTGCAGAAAGGGTATAAGTGTGGTGCGAAGGAGGTGGTAACATTCAGCAACAAAATACTATCATAACTAGATTTAAACCAGCTTAATAGTCATCCCATTTCCCCATAGAACTTCAGGAAGCAGAAACTATAGTCTGAGGGATGGAAATGCTTGGGATCTTTAACCAAGAACTCAGTCTTGTTTACTAATCAA